CCCTGCAGAATTATTTGTCAAGCACCTGAAACCATGACATTATCGATATATTATTGAAAGAGAAATGTAGCTGAAGGTTAAAATAAACTGTCACAACAATGTTTTGTAGAATTAAAATTATTTCAAATGCAAAAGGGAGACATGGTGTACACCAATTTGCTTTCAGCTCAGTTGTAAGGTGACATTTGGATGCCATGAAATGTACTTGAATTATACATAAGGTGTTTCCTCAAAACAAAATATCCTTTGTGCAAATCAATACACCTCCAAGATTTGTCATAACAACACCATAACTGTTATCTACTGAGCTGTCTCCCACCAAACCTGTAGGGGTACATATAGCACCTGGAGTAGGGATGAAAAAGAATGCTAGCTTCCGTTAGGTTGTTGGCTCACAGCAGTAAGAGCTTCTACTGAAAGAGGGGGCTTTGTCAGCCCTTTATTTCAGCTCTGCAGGAGTTGAGCCCAGTCGCTTCATTGGTTTGGAAGCTTTAACGAAGCAAATAAATGTCAAAATGTGTGAATTTGTGACATTTGTTCTCTGTCATGCCCTCTGCTACCATGTTCATGTGCTAAATGAAAACTAGCACCCTATTCTTTCATTTCCAACTTTGACTTCCCCCTCTGGTGATTCGGAAAAATCAACAGAAAAGCTGCACCTTCTTATAAGCCGTATGGTTCAAAGTGTGGGAATGAAGTAGAGGCTTATAGTCCAGAAAATATGGTAAATAACCCAGTAGGAGGTTGAGGGAGCAACACTAGCTGTTTCAAAGGCACCTGGTGGTTAAAAAGTTAAATAAATTATAGCTCAAACTGCATGTTTAGGCATTTGCACTTTCTCTTAAATAAAGCCATTGCCTCCACATCTGGGTCATCCTAGTCAGATACCTAAAACCGCTTTAATGGATTCCTTTCATAGCAATAATTAAACTTTATTAATCTCACATTGGAGATATTTACCTCTCCATGTAACCCATACCCTTGGGGAGCAGTGGACTGCAGCGCCCAGTGAGCAGTGTGGGGTAAAAGGACTTGCTCAGAGAGCCAGAGTGGCAGTTTGTGGGAGTCGAACTCAGGATTCCAAGCTCTAACCACCAGGCCGCCACTCCCTTAGCGATGTGAAAACTCTACTTGGTAAAAGCTCAGGCCAGAGGCGTGCAGGTGGCCCATGTACGGAGGCCTTCGATGTGGGCGACCCAGGTTCGAATCCTGCCTGTGGTCCTATGTCTCTCCCTGTCTCCCATACCCCCTTTCCTGTCAGCCTACTGTTGAAAAAATAAGACACTAGTCTGTAAAACCTCAAAAAAAAAAAAAAAACTTAGACCAGTTTGTGCTTCTATCGTCATCAGTATCTCAGACCCTGATTAAACAGTAACTTTGAGATTTTCTTTCATCACAGCTCCACAGGCAAAGTAGATATCTCAAATGAGTTACAGGTGTTTCAAGATCAGTTGAAAATCAGTGGGAGTATTCACAGTAATTTTAAACACAGTGTTGTAAAAACAGCACATTTTAATGTGGGGATTTAAGAGAAACAACAACATAAAAGACAAAGGAGTTATAAAATTTGTATTTGTTTTGAATACAATTACTAATTAGACAATATATGAAGACAACTATTTGCTTAAGGGTATCTGAGGGGGGCTGAACACAAAAGCGTTCCAGTTTCATGATGTTCAAAAATAATTACCATTTTATATAACTTCACAGATATGCACCTGTTTATATTCTATCTGACAGAATCCCTATAAATTATATTGAAGCCCTTGATTTCAGCAAGATGAAACTAGAAAGCATAAAAAGGGTATGCATACTTTTGTAAGTGACTGGAAATGCGCTACATCAGTCAGTTTAATTGTATGCAGATTCCTTCCTATTCTAAGTATTCAGAAAAGTCACCCTGATAACTTCATTGACAAAAAAAAAATTGAAAAATTAGTCCCATTACTTTAGCTGCAATTTGTAAACATTATGTTGATTGATATTTGCTATCATAAAGGCATATATCTATTTACGAGCTAGCAGTGAACCATTTTTTAATGCCTCTTTGGCCCAAAAACACATTCAATAAATAACAAGCCTCCACATTGTGCCAATGTTAAGAAAGCATAAAATTATCACTTATCTGGCAAGGGAAAAGGCAATCAAGAGATCTGCAATATGCCCTTTAAACAGAGACCTATAAAAATAATGACTGAACTCCATAACTCTTTATGTAGCCTGATAATTTAAAACAAAACATTAGTTTTAATAAAAGTCTCATTGTGGTTAAGTATCGTAGCTTCTGTTTCTGTCATTTATTTATTCCTGTTTCTTCTTTATGCTGTGGCACTTGTTCTAATACAAACTGTTGCATAAGAAGTCAGTCTATCAGCTATGCACAAATGAGAGTTAATTCTTTGGAGTATTATGTTATACTAGTAGATTATCTTATACCTTTACATCCCATCATTTGGGTGTGAGGGAATGTTGGCATAGTGGTTAGAGCATCGCGCTTGTGCTCTGAGAAGGTTGCAAGTACCCCGTTTTATCCTCACAGCCTGCACTCTGGGTCTCTGAGCAAGACCCTTGACCCCACACTGCACCCCGGGTGCTGCACCATGGTGGCCCATTGCTCCCCAAGGGGATGGGTTATATGAAGAGAGTTAATTTCTCCATTGTGAGATCAATAAAGTTCAATTTCTATCTGTTGTCAGAAAGCTCTCCTGCCTCACCTCAGATATATTTTTCTTCCACCTCTATCTGCTTTTATCTGTCTGTTCTCAACCAAGTCAGAAGATGGCGCTGCTCTCTTTGCCACATTTTTCCATGTGTGTGTCTCTTGAAGTCAGCAGTTTGAGAGACTGAACTATGAGGATCCAGGTTGAGATGGTGGCCAGAGTCCTGAAGGACAGTGTTGGGATTTCTAAAACACCTCTTCAACCCAGAAGATGGTTTTAATGATCTGGAAAGCCCCCTGCATCGTTCCTGTACAAAAGAAACAAACAGTCCTCAACGGCTAAAGACCTGTTGCAGTTGCAGTTATCACCTATTTCAACAAAGCAATGTCATTCAGACAACATAGCACAGATTTTAACTTGCAAATCGATGCTAATTGCAGTGGAGATTAACGAGTCCAGCGCATTTCTCAAATTAATAACTAACCAGCAATTTGGACTTTAACAAACAAAAACCCCAGTGTGCTGACAATATTTATTGTAACTCAGCAAAAGTAGAACATTTGTTCAACATGATTAAAATAAATGACCTACTCGTATATCTTCCATGTGTCATGTGGTCCCTATTGCAGTCAGGCTATACATCAGTCTCTATTGGGGAATGTGACTAAAATGTTTATTCACATTTAACATTTTGTCATGTGGAATCACTTCATATCAAAAGAGATCATCAGAGATAAACATTTGAAAGGTTTTTCATCTGTTCAGTTATCTTTATTACCCCCTAAATGGAAATCAATGCACTGAGTTTCCTTCAGAAGTCAACCAATTTATCCCTGTGTGAATGGATTAAAACTCTAAATATTCCAGATGTTCTATGGAGGCCTAAGAGGTTTGTTAGAACATCGCTAAGTCTTTCCGTTTTGGAGCGGTAAAGAGGATTTTTGTTTTATTCGCCTGTTATTAAAAACAGCTTCAAATGATTGAAGTTGTGGAGAACCCTGAGGATATTTCAAACTTTTCTAAATATCTGAAAACTGAAGGACTGTGGCGGGACTGTAATTGTGTTCTACTAGGAAAGGAGAGCTTTGATAAGAGAAGGATGAAGTCTCTGGTTACCTCTGGAAGAGCTGCAGAGACCAACAGCACATCAAGGTGAATTTGTCCATAGAGCCACTGTTAGCCTTTAGCCAGAGATAGCAAAAGTACTCACTTTCCCTACTTAAGTAAAAGTACAGATACTTGTGTTAAAAAATACTCTGGTAAAAGTGGAAGTACTGATTAAACTTCTTTACTCAAGTAAAAGTAAAAAAGTACAGGCTTGTAAATTTACTTAAATTATAAAAGTAAAAGTAGAAACCACTTTTTTCATGCCGTTGCCTACATTTTAAATGGATGTCTGCCAATAGGACTAGATCTCCGTTGTGTTCATTTTCAATCATCTCGTCGTCCATGCTACTATGCTAACGCCACCGCCACCAAGCTGCAATGATTTGCCGCCAATGAATACCGCCGAATCTGTCGATTCATCTTGTAGTGGTGCGTCAAATGCAACGTAGATTCCCATCCAATTAGATTGAATTTGGTATTGATGACGTGAAAAATAGTAACGGTAACTCCATTGAAATGATTCAAAACTAAAGTAACGAGCCAATTTTTTAAAATGTAAGGATAGTAAGGAAAGTACAGATATTTGTGTAAAAATGTAAGGAGTAGAAGTAAAAAGTCACCATAAAAATAAGTAGTAAAGTAAAAATATCAGAAAAATCTACTTGAGTACAGTAACGAAGTATTTGTACTTCGTTACTTCCCATCTCTGCCTTTAGCCTATGTGGAAGAACGGCATGAAGAAAGAATATGTTGACAGAAACCTCCAAGAGGTCAACATGAATGTTTTCTACAAACCTTGTAGGAGATAATTTAAACAAGGTTTAAAAAGGATTATTTGGGTCAACATGTAAAATTTTGTGTGGGTAGAAAGCTATTATCATAAACAAAATTGTGAAACATGGAGGCAGTGACATGATGATGTGGGAATCATGTTTATCTTTGAAAACCATGTACACCTTGCTTCCACTTTAAAAATATATCGAGGGGTATGTGTATTCTTGCAACACACTGAATGTAAAAGTTCAGTGTACAGGTAGATAGCAGGTCTACAGTAGGCAGCGGAGGGCATCAGTGATGTCAGTAAAAGGGGATCAACACCTGGTGGAGCGTAACGGTGTGCAGGGGACACGGTAGCTTAGGTTGTGCAACTGGCCAACATGCTGGGTGTGCAGACCTCCTATTAGGTGGGAAGTGTATCTGAGATGCACTATGTGTTGAGTCATACTTAAGGCCTTTGAACATTCATTCATTTATTTGTTTTTGGTGTTTTAAATGACAAAAAAAACTTAAAATTGATCAATATTCCAAAACATATATCAGTAAAGTAGTATATCCTCCTGTACAGCAGGGGGTACACTATAATTAAACTACATCAGAGAATATTAAGGCACTGAATCGATCAATTCTGCATGTTTAGGCTTGGAGTCCGAAGCAGCGTGCAGTACTGAGAATGTCGTCTCGGGTCAGGTAACATCCACAAAGCTGCCTCAATCCGGTGAAAGATTCCCTCCCATGCAGGACCCTCCAGTTGTCAATAAAAATCACCTAAGGAGACAAAAGAAAAACAGCAAAATGATTAGATTCTACTAAATTACATCTAAGCTTGGGGGGTTACATTTGTAGCACCTGATTTTCTTAATTAAAGCCTCAACATTCTTACTTTCCCTGGAGTGAGTTTCACCCACAGCTCGTTCTCTGGGTGCCTTAATTCCTCGGTCAGCTCTCGATGTGCTACATACCATCGCTGGACGGTTTCATGAGGGATTGTGTTAATCACTGACCGGTCATAGTTGTTATACCTGGAAAAATTAGAACAGGGAACAATAAACATTACTGCTCAGCGTCTACAGCAGAAAATGTATTAAAATCAGAATCAATTTACCGAATCATGTAGAGTTCATTATTCCATGGGTAGACGTTGAGCACGGGGCCAATGCCCATCATGTGGTTCTTGTGATTGTCTGTGTTCTCAATGTACTCGTGCCTTATTGGTATTTGAAAGAGAAGCTCAAAGTTCTGACGAGAACGTTGGCGGAGCTTCTCTGCAGCATGGAAGCCATCCACCAGCAGTGTCCTTCCTCCTGTACCCTCATGTCTGAGGCAATGAAATACCTGGATTCTGCAGCAGCAGCCAAAACAATCATTTTCAGTGATAAATCATCAACTGTCCTACATAACCTGAAACACTTGGACTAGGCTTTCATCCCATAATTATCTGCCTGGAAAAGTTGGAAAAAAAGTACACTGTCACAAGTACAAAGAAACAAAATGTAGTTTGCATCCATCCAGAAGTGCTTTACAGGATAGATGTTTTTCATTTTTTTCCATGTGCACAGAGACTGTGTATGTATTGAATATAAATGCTATATGATAATTAATTGAACTTTATTTATCTCACACTGCATTTAACCCATCCCCTTGTGGAGTAGTGGGCTGCAGCGCCCTGGTAGCAGCGTAAGGTCAAGGGTCTTGCAGAGACCCAGATTAGTAGTCTATATGAGGGGGGCTTGAACTCAGAAGCTCTGGATTCCAAGCTCTATGCCCTAACCACTAGGCCGCCACTCCCCCCTAAATATAGATCAATTGTAAGAGGCTATAAAATGAATAAATATGAAAACTAAATACAGATTTTACAGGAGAGGGGTTAAAATATAGGATAAATAATGACAGATAATAGCAGGTAATATATTTGCAGATTATATACAGCTATAATTGAGAAGTGTGTGTAAGTGGTGTTTGATCCACTTTTACACGTTTGAATAATAAGGTATCAAAAATAGGTACATATGTAACCAGAATTGTATTCCCATCCATCCATCCATCCATCCATCCATCCATCCATCCATCCATCCATCCATCCATCCATCCATCCATCCATCCATCCATCCATCCATCCATCCATTGTGCTAAGTTTTTCATTTTTATTGTTTTTTGTGATACTAGAGGCCTTTATTTTGAAAAAGGGCCAAAAGGAATTGATGACTGAGAGAGGGGGAGAACATGAAGCCAAGGCCTCTATAGGTTGGGACTCAAAAAGTTAGATAACTGCAATAAGGACTGAGGTATCTGTCCATGGGATAAGTAGTCTGCCCCTACATTTGGGCAGCACCTGTAAAATGTGAAATTTAACAAGAAAATGAGTACAGTAAAACCTGAGGGTACCTACCCACATGGCTCCTGAAAATAAGAGGTGTCCGTGTGACGGTCCAGGGCCAGCTGACTGTAGGCAGTGTCGCCTCTGGAAAAATCGGATGTAAAGCTCCACATTCTCCCATATGTAGTCTCTCTTATCACAAAAAATGACAAGTACGCAGTTAATACTGTTCACATTGTTATGCAATCTGTGACCATAAAGAAGCCCTACCTGATAAGACTGACCCTCTGAGTGACTTTCTCAGTGGCTTCCACTGTTGTAGGAACGTCGTCCACAAAAGCGATACCATACAAGAGGTAGTTCTGAAGGAACTTTTTCAGCTCATTGTCGCAGCTCATAAATTTGTCCCATTTGACTGTAGACACGTTTGCGTTTTGGTAGATGTCAGCGTTCCACAGGATGCGATGCTGCTCACTAGCCGTCTTCCTTTCTTCATAGCTGTTTTCAGCCAACCAGCTAAGGCTGTATTTTGACACATGGCCACCTGGCCCTGCAAAGGAAATAACATTATAGGATGCTTTCTGTTATGTCCCGCTAGAACTGATTATGAATCAAACTGAAACAATGTAGCTTTTTGTTGGTTAGTATCCCATATAAATTCTCCTCTTTATAGAACCTGCAGCTGTATATCACTGAAATTATGGAGAATTTGGGAAATTTCTATCTGTATAGCTCAACAAATCATCCCCAGGGAGAAACACGGTAGTGGCAGCATCATGCTGTGGTGGTGCTTTTTTTTCACAGCGGGATAGGAAAGTTGGCTTAAGGGCCGCAACTATTTTGCTAATCAATTAATCTGTTGATTCTTGTTTCGAAAAATGGATTAACAAACGGATCCTGAAGGTTTCCTTAAAGAAGATTTTACACAGAACTTTTACTGGTTTAAGGATCAAAAAAGCAGCTAACATGGGGAGCTAACATGAAGTGGCCCACCTTTAAAGCATGTGCATCATCATCCTTATTATCATCTTCATCATTATTTTCAGTTTCGAAGTGAGTGCATTAGCATTTGTCAGTTTAAGTGAGTTGTAATACCACTCTTGTTTGTGCATCTTAAGGCTGGTACAAACCTTCCGTTGCACAAAACATCAGAGAAGCCCACAACAAGATATCATACGGTCCTGATGACTATGAGTTTCCCATGTGCTATAAGAGGATTTTTTTAAAAGGTAAAACTTCCAGGATCCTGGTGCCATGTAACCTTGAATTGTATGATATATGTACAGAATGTATTTATATAACCCTGTCTAAACATTTCTTTAACCTCTTTTTTAAACTTGAAACAACAAAATGTGTCTTTACAAACAACATCCACAGTGAAACAAGTTGTCATTAAGAACAGCTTCAAAAGAAATAAAAAAGGGATTGATTAATCTCACCAATACAATATGTAGCTGTAGAATTAGCAATGTACATATTTTCAACATTACATTTACCTCTGTGTCTTAAAGGTATAGAGGAGGATTTTCGCGAAGTTTTGAAAAGACCTGCCCTCTCCACGATTAAAAAATATGCACATGCGCAAACCTGTACCCTCTCCCAAGACGGAACGCCTAATGACGAGGGTGAGATCATGCACGAGCCCATTTCTCCTCGTGCATGCTCTGTTTAAAAGTTGCTGTTTGCATCACTCAAACAAGCTTAGTTTCCAAAAGAAGTTTTGCAATTTTTCCATTATGTCAGACTGTCCTTCGCTAAGTGAAAATGGGGACGAGCACGTAGGACAGCCTTACGTAAACATATCACCAGAATGATTGACAATTAGGAGAACCACTTATTTTGATGATCCACCCAGAAAAAGAACATCATCCACTATGTACCTTTAATTTTGCTCTCTTTTTTAGATTCTGGTGTCTTTTTGAGTCTTCCATTTAACGGTTTGATGAAAAGCTAAAGCCAATTTACCTCCCTGAGGGACGCTTTAACCAAGTATAATAAGGTTTCTAAAAACATTTTTACATTATGAAACATTGAAATAAGCTAAACTTGTTTAATATTTAAAAAACAAATGAATCATGACTGTATCTGATTATTTTCCAATTCCTCTTCATTACTGTTGAAAGCATGGATGCCAAAACTAATTGTTTTTGATTCAACTGGCTATCTGGCATCAGAAAAAAAAGAAGCAGAATATAACGGAGCTGCCTATAAAGTTTGATCAGTTAATCTTGCATGAAATAGATTTTATAACTCTGAGTGTAAAAAAAACAAAAACAAAACGGCTTTTTTATTTCTTTTTTTTTTTTTACCTCAGATCTCATGACAATGAACCAAATCGTCACAGTCTGTCACCTTTTTTGTGACAAAGTGCAAAGATCATCATATACTGTACAGAGCAGCACTCCATTATCTTCCTATAGGATCTAATCTTTAATAGCGTACATTTCTTCCTCTAAAAGTGGTTGGAGTTATTCTTTAACCCTTTTAGTATTTTGTAAATGGCATGTCTACTTTCTTATCTGTTATTTTCTATACACTTTTCTAAGGTTGTGTGACCAGTTCTGATATAACCTTTTGCTGATGTAACACCACAATTTCCAAATTCAGGGACAAAAAAGGGATTTTCTTTTCTATTCTATGTAATAGCTTTAAATCCAATTGAAGAAGATGAGCACAGGTTAACTGCAAAATGAATAATATAGTGCTAAGAAGGAGTTTGTCTCACTGCAAAAAAATTAAATATAAGTAAGTCAGTTTTCACTTGATTAGAGCAGATGAGACAATTTGCCAATAGGAAATTTTAAGTTAAAAAGAAAATAACTAAGTTATCTTATTCCAAGTGTATATATCTAATTTATTTTAGAGCAAATATTGCATTGGCAGATAATCATATCTTGATTTGCACTGCCAACTGTTTATTCACAGTACCAATTGTTTACATATACATTTGCAATAACACTGTAATATGCAATTACCGTCCACTGCACTTTAATTTAGATAGCTTCTGTCTAAACTTTATTTATTCATTTTATAGTAAAATCCATCTGTATATATGCTATTGTACATAACTGTAAAAACCCTTTTTTATAATAATACCCACCTGTATATTATATTTGGTACATATCCAGCTGTAAATTGAGTTCACAACACTGGATATCTATATACTATATAGATCTATTAGTAAGATTCTGTTTATAATGGTACTCATCTCTATATTTATTCAGTAGAACCCATGTCCTGTATTTATGGAACCATTATTTATCCTGCACTTGCTGCTATTGCACTTCTGATTAGACCTAAACTGCATTTCGTTGCCTTGTACCTGTGCCTGTGTGATGACAATAAAGTTGAATCTGATCTGCTTAAATCAAGGGCACTTTTTCCACTTTCTGTTTCCACAATGCAGTAATGTTGTTGATTTGTGCAACCTTTGCAGCTGACTCACAGGTGAGCACCAGCTGACCGTGTTCCAGCGCGGAGCTCTGAGGGCGGACAGTCAGCTCAATGCTCGCGGTGTCCAGGCTCCTCTGGTGGGTCGCGGAGTTGAAGCAGGAAGCTGAGCGACAGTGGTCCCGCAGCCACACGTAGTTGAAACGCATCCGCTTTCCCCCATCGCTGATCTCTAAATGATTTTATTGGACGTTAGAACGGGTTTATTAAAGCAATAGGTTTATTGATTATTATTATTATTAAAAGAAATGGCTTTTAAACTCACCGAGACAGTCTTCTAGTAAGCGGAAAGTCGCTGCGGTGCGGAGCTGCACCATGTGTCCCCGTGATATGCGGGACTCTGTGCGGACAGCCTGCCTCAGGACAGGACCCACTACTCTATGCAATGCATTTAACATGCCGGCTGAAAATCCCGCAGATTATGCCTCTGTAGACAATCCAGCTCCTTCAAGTTTGCAGTCAGTAAATAGATTGAACTTCAGCCTGATGAATCCTTTCCACACAGTTAAATCTGTAATCTCACAAAAAACATCTCTGAGTGACGCGAAAAGATTATAAAAGCTTAATCATTAAACAGTAGTTGGATTTAAATGTTTTTTTACCCAATATTCCTTTAACACATGCGTAATTCACCCGACCCAGTACCCGGATGAATGAGCACGTCAGTGCGGCCGCCATATTGGGAGGGGATGGGGTGCAGTTTATTTAGGTTAGATTATTGGGCACAAATTTGTTGTTTTTTGGATCATTTATATTTTTATAGCGATATGTAGAGGTTTTAAACAAGGGTATTTACAGGGGCTCTCTTTTCTACCTTGCTTGGTGAATTACTGTGAAAAATGTTGAATATTATAAACTTAAAAAGGAAAAAGTTTACTTTCAAATAATTAACAAATAAATATTGTAATTTTTTTAGGACAATAGAAATATAACATTTGGCCTTACATTATAGAATATTATTCGAATTAATAAAAAAAAAGAAGTACTTCCTTTACTGAATTTAAAGACATCAAGGATGCTTACTCACAGTTCTATCCAATGTCATGATTTAAGAGTTAGCTCGATATATCCACAAAGAGCATAGTTTTGTCTGAATATGTGGTTTTTATATTGCACTGTGTCCCACAGCAATAAGTACAAAAAGAATGGGGAAAAAAATGTGTTTGCTCAAATCATTAAAAACACTGTATTAAAAGGATCTGTGGCCAAAAAAACTTCCCTACTTAAAGGACCTTGTGTGCCAGAATTAGAAGACAAGTCATAATTTTGTCCAGTCATCATGATGAGATATAGATATGGTTCTAATTTCTAAGGCACTCAGCTATTTTCATGGGAAGTCCCAATCCACTTCTTTTAAAGTCTTAATTAGTTCCTAATGAGGAAATAGCATCATAGCTGTTAGTTTCATAGTCCTATGAAGTGATCTCATATATACAAATTTTTTAAACTCATGATTTTGACTTTTAAATCACTGATCTCTTTTCAAAGTAATATTTGTGTAAATCCTCCAGTAAAAGAGGTAGATTTTCATACTCCACAGATCCCCGCCACATTAGGACCTTTAAAAAAAAAACAACAAAAAAAAAAAACAAGTGGAAAAGCAGTGCTAATAAGATAGGAAGAGTAGAAATGTCAATGCAAGATGTGAATCAATACTTGCTGAACAAGCTATTTGTGTTGCTTTGGTATTTTTTCTAATAATATGATGTTTGCTTAGTATAATATGCAGTATGCAGTTCTTCATATATACACACATCAATTTCAAACAGATGGTATTGGCATGGTATCGGTATCGGCCGATACTACACACCAGGGTATCGGCATCGGGGCCAAAAAATGGCACTAGTAAGCAGAAATGTTGCATAAGCAAGAGTAACAATAAAATATAACTTTAGTAAAAGTAGAAAGTACAGTAACTTAAAAACTTGAGATTAAGATTACATTTTCTTCTAGAAGTTACTAAAACAAATGTAACTGACTAAATGTAACAAGTTACTACCAACCTCCAGAATGGATTTCCTAAGAAGTGCAAATCTATTGCAGGCTGATTAGTGGATGCTCCCACGGGCTCACTGGCTCCCTCTAGAGGCTATGGTTGATCCTGACAACCTGGACCCAGCTTGGTGAAGGTAATTTTTTAAAACCTTCCTAGTTACTTTTTTTTTTTTTTTTTTTTTTTTACACAAAAGAACACACAAGGATATTTGTTTTCTGCTTATTTCTTCTCAGGCATTGTTTTGCACTAAACATGTTTAACAGACAACAAACAACAGTGTTACAATTATATAGATTTGATCAAATTGTAACCTAGTCATTAATAATGTAATCCTAATCTACAATTTTTTTTCTCTATTTAAAATGTCTTAAATATCTTTTAAAAAATTGTTTTGTTTTTGTGGGATCAAATAAAGTCAAACTCTTGTTACCAGGTTTTGTTTTTTAAACTTTAAAGCTAGTATTCAAATAGAAATTTCAGTCTAAGTCTGTCTGAGATACAAACATGTGAGGTGATATAAAAATTTTGGATATTAAAAATCAAAATCTGAAAAGTCAAAACCCTATGAAAACTGTGTTGGTAGAATAAGTGCAAGCTGAAAACCTGGCATTTATGGAAGAAATGCATGAAGAATGCTGTAGTAAATCCTGCTTCTGCAGCTTGCATCCATCCATACGGGGGACATGAGGGGATCTCCACACATGTTGGAGAATCTATCAACCATACAGCTACTGGTTGTGCATTCAATAAATCGTGCCTTTATGGAAGAGGGCCAAGAAAAAGCCAATCGGGATAGAGAGCTACCATGAGTCCTGTTAAATGTTACCCAAAAACCACATAGGAGACTAAGCAAAAATTTCATGTACGTGGACATTGTCAGTTTAACTATAGCTTTTGCAAATTTCAGCGGTGAAGTCATCTCGAAATCTTAAAAAAATGTTGTTTGCAGATGTGTCTAGTAGTTCCCATTGATTTAGCTTGTAAAGCGGGGAGAATGGCGCTCAGTTTGCCGTACCGTGACGTTACTTCCTGTGAATGTATTAGTTTTAGGTATAGATAATGATCCCTTGATCATTCCTTGCTCACCGGACTTCTCCTTTAATGAGCAGCAGGAAACAGACCCTAGCCTTACAGCTACATCTACAACAGACGGTTTTAAATACACAAATTTAGTATTATTGTAATAAAATGGCTCTGTAAAAATCCAGACATTAATGAATTTGATCGTCTGGCTCAAGATTTGAAGGTTTTCCATAGATGCACATCTACCCATCGATGCAAAGACCATTCTTTAGTTTCTAGATGGACAAGGCTCCAGTGTACGGCAGCCCCGCTTCTGTCAGTGAGCCCCAGGGCAGCTGTGGCTACAATGTAGCTTGCCACCATCAGTGTGTGTGTGAATGGGTGAATGAATGTAGTGTAAAGCGCTTTGGTCAAGTCTCCTCACTTGAAAATAGGTGCTATATAAGTACATGCCATTTACCATTTACCATAACAACACTCCCTGCTCAATTTTAGGGATATCAGGTTGGAGTGAAAAAAAAAAATGTGTAAGAGCAGGGGCGGAGCTAGATTGGGGGCCAGGGCCACCCTTAGCCAATCATTGGCCTCCCCTGTGGCTATCCCTTCCCTTTATTTCTCTCACATACAGATGTTGGCAGCAGTAATATTCGAAAGTGCAATATTCAAGATTTTAATTTTACATATATTAACAATGACTTGACAACAAAAACGCTGTGGTTAATTATGCACCTCAAAATACTATCATTATAGATGATAAGTACAGAATTTATGCTCTTTTCAGAAATAGATTTAGTGTTTTATGGGGTAAAGAGAAAATGATGTGTCTATGCAAGTCATCTAGGAGTCTTCAGTGAAAGCATAGATAAATAACTGTTTTGATAAAAACTTATTAAATATAAATTTTATGCGGAATGATTACTTATAAAAGTAGGTAAGTAAGGAAAATGGAAAAGATGTTCGCCCAAAACTCAAACCTGAAAGAATTTTATCCACTACACCTTTTATCTAGGAAGCACGGATGTATGAATATATTTGTCTTTTTGTTAGAAAAGGTAGTGGGAAAGTATAGTTTTTTTTTTTTTTTTTATTTAGAAAACATGGATGTTTTCTTTGTTAATTTCTCTGTTAGAACAGTGTAGATTGACCCTGAGGTTATGGTGCCTATCTACTTTCGGCCACCCCTCAGTGTACATTGGTTATTGCCTGGCCACCCTTATAATTTTTTTTCTGGCTACACCTCTGTGTAAAAGACTGACATTTTGACAGAAATGTGAAAAATCCAAAAAGTATGAGTAGCCATTGGCCTGCTATAATTAAAGGGTATATGGGCCCTAAGATAAAGGGTACAATTGTTCTTACTACATTGTCCCCTGAGTTTATTATCTGATTGAATGGGCGTGGTGCTGTCGGTACAGCTTTGCACTTGGTGAACCTTATTGCGCATTAGGACATCCAGTCATCCTGTTTTTTATTTTTAAAACGTTGTAGCTGTCCCAGTGAATGCTGTGATCGTGTTGCGTAAGCACCCCACTGCAGCTGGGTGCTCTTTCTGGGATCACCATGTTCTTTAAGGACGGAGTTGTTTTGCTTTCCTGAGCGCTGCTGGAGCTGCCCCTCTCAAAACGCTGTAGTGATGGCGCGTTCAAAACTATCGGAATTTTGGCGGTCTGAATGACGAGCGCTCCAGGTGGCTCAGAGTTTGCTTGTTTGTTTGTTGTTTAAAATATTATTATTTTTTGTATCTGTGTATTTCTGTCTCCCTTTTTTGTCACTTTCAAAATATAACCCAAACACATTAAACAAAAAATAAAAAATAAAAAAATAAATAAAATTGTGTAAATGTATAAATGGTTTATTCTTGATGAGAATTGTGGGACTGCCTAAGTAATATTTTACCTTGTTAGTATCAGAATGCTCCATTTTAGATTCTTACCATTGCTTTACAAAAAATATAAAATTGGAATTGTCTGAAACTATTAAGATGGTTTAGAGATGATACCTTTGCAGCAGTATTGATTTTCTTCTTAATTTACCAAGATAAAACGTTTGTTTGTCTCTTAACAAATGGCCATTCTGCAAAGGTCTTTGCATCAGTTTGAATTTCAAATTTTCTTAGATGTATCTGCTGCCAGAACTGAAAAAGCTCTGCACCAGTTTTAAAATATTCTTTTTGAGATGAGACAGTAGCTCAAAAGAGAGATGAAATGTGTATTCAATGAAAATGATTATCAGAAAATAAATCATTTCCCATCTATAACAGTAGGAAACCTAATACTTTTTTTTTTTCTGAATTCATGAGATATTTTTCTTACAATTTTCTCACTTATAATATTTCTCAATAACATTTCCACTTCAGAGTAAAAGTGGGACGAAATTCCTACATTTGTGGTTAATATTTATCTATTGATTATTTGTTGGGGTTGGGTTAAAGTATTTGTTGGGTTAAAGTATTTAACCTTAAAACAAAACAAACTGGGTATATTCAGTCCATCAAATTTGCACCAATAAGTAAAACATTTTTTTCTTCTTTTAGTCAACTTACAATATAACTTAAAGGACCAACTGCTTTGAAATGTTGGTAAATATACCGCTATTTACAAAAGTAGTATTTAATGCAATACTTATTTGGAAGCTTTTTATTACACGTGGTAGTGGATTTTCCTTCAAACCGAAGTGCTGTAAATTCGGAGTTTAGCGGTGGCTCTTGAACGCAGCACCCTGACGCTCTGAGTGCAGCTGCAGCAGCAGAGGCTGCAGCCGTCACTAGTGTTTACTTGCTTCGTCAGCGGTGTCTCTGCCAGTTATCTCATGTCGCTCACCTGCTGCTGATTAAAACCTCGGACTTTTACCTCCCTCTGCGTCTTATCACGTCTCCAGGACTCCTTATCAGCGGTTTCATCAAGCCTCCCGTGGACCTTGGTCGGGGGCAATAAGGGTCCGCTTTTTTTTAAAAAACCTAACAGGGAAAGATGACGTTAAAATCCAATAAAAACGAACCTGCCCTCATACTTGAGCCGGTGAGCAGCGTCCGGACAGCCCTTTCTGATCTGTACCTGGAGCATCTCCTCCAAAACAAACCAAAGCCTGACAAGGTAAGGCCTTATTTACCCTGTCTCCCACATTATTTTTGAGCATTTGCTTCCGGGTTGCGTGTTCTGGGTGTTCATTAATAGTTGTAGCTGTGTAAAATTACCCCAACAAATAATTAAAAGATAAAGGGGCGATTTAAAGAGCTGATCGGGATCTTCTCTTTAAAATACGAACTTGAGACTTCTGTCAAATCAGCAGGTCTTTGTCAGCAAACTCCAGTCTGTCAGCCTTTGTTAGACTCCACGAGACACTTGATTGACAATTTCACTTCTGCATTTCAACCTAAACTAAGTGCATTTACAGCTGACAACTGTGTATTTCAGGCTGTAACCACAGGACACAAAACCATGCATGCTGAAGATGTCAAATGATCATAAATAGGCCTTCCTCTGTTCTTTTGGGACTCCTTTTCTGTCTTTTATTTCAATGCTGCATTTTGTTTTGCTCACTTCTGCACAGATTGTTTGGTAAGTTTTCCCACAAAACTGGATCAGGAATTAGTTTCAGATGAAACTAGGTTGTTTACTTCATCTTAGTGTGATTGCAACATAAGAACAAAGATTTGGTTCCTTACTAAAATGTCCAGAAATCAGATGAAGAAAAAAAAAATAAAAATTTGGGGAATTGGAACTAAGCAGCCAGGGAGCAGCAGTGTTTCAGAAAGTCTTTCTGTGAAATTTGAAAGGTCAGCACTGGTGAGACTTAGAGAGGGGGAAAAAGGGGAAGAGAGGAAACTTCTTTCCTCATATCAGCAGTTTGCGATTCCAATCACAGCACTGTGCCCTTGTGCCCGGCCCTGATTTGTTATATCACTGTCTTACAGTGAGGTCACATTATCTTAACAGTAAGGACTGGTAAGCTGAGGATGTCTGCAGGGGAACTCTTTATCTTGAGTTTGGAGTTGAGGATGCTTCCTGTCCTTCTCTGCTTATGTCAGTTTTGGGACCAGATAAACAGCCAGTGATGTTTAAAGCACTACTGATTGCTTTAAGCACACATTCCAATATCAGAAATCGTTTAAATCACATGATGAAACAGAGCAAAGTGAGAACTTAATGTCCTGCATGGACATTTTAAAAAACCTTAATGCTATGGTTGAATCCTTCAATCTGCATCCTATAAAATTTGTCATTTTGAAGGAGTGTTTTCTTATTAAATTGATCATTTTTGTCTGATAGAGCTAGTGATTCCAAGTTGCTTTATTTCAAATAGAAAACAGTTTCACTCTTGAGTAACAAATAAGTAGGTTGTGATTAAATCAGTGGAGAGAACTGATCAATGAGAAAATGACTCAGAGATTCATAGAGAAATTTCTCCTTTACAAAAACACCAGACTGTTTATTTTCCAGTGGGTAACCAGTAATTACAATCTTCTTTTTTTTTATAGTTAGTTGGTGCAACATCATGCTTTGATGCAGATGCTCTGATGGAGAAATACAACAGCTTCAAAAATAGTTTGAATTTCTGTATGAGGAAATACAGAGATGTCAGTAATGCTGCCAAAGAGCAAGAGAGAGCAATGATTACAGCAGATAATAGGAAGGCTGGAGTGTGCTCCGTTTTATCCGTTTAAAGCTTCAGCCTCTAACCTTCATTTAATGATGATAAACCAAAATGTATAGAAAGAGTTAGTGGAGGAGCAGAACCATGTCATTCTTCTCCACACAGCCAGTGGGAATGTAATTGCTTTCACCATTTTCCTGTAAAGCCTGATTGAAAATTGTAGCCGTTTGAAACCTCAGCAGTTATAACTTGTAGACCTTCTGGTTGAGTCAGTGCAGGTCATTAAAGGGTCTTGTGTCACTAATCACACAGATGTCGCAGAGTTGAGATACACTGGTTGTGTAACTTGTTAATGCTGCTTACTTATTGTTTTTTTTTTTTTGTTTGTTTGTTTTTTTGTTTTCTGTGTGTGTTTTAGCTCTAAGAGACAAAACAAAGTGAGTAAGGAGAACCTTAGAATTTAGGCCGTCAGGATGTTTACTGCGACACAGAGGATGTAACTTCATCTGTTAAGCATCGGGTCTTTTCCTGCACAGTTGTGACGCACAGCAGTGCAAGCAAGAGTATAAATAACTGTTGAGCTACATTTAAAAAAAAAAAAACTGCTCCCTTACTGTTTGTTTACTCCTGCTTATCCAATAATGCAGAAACTAGAAGCCGGATTAAGGAGGAATTCCTGGCGGTAGGCCGCACCAAGCTGCCTTTCAGGATGAAGGAAGGGGGGGGTGGAAGCAGAGTGATAATAATATTTATTGGTTTATTGTTTTCTCTGAAGATGATATCCTTTCTGCTGAGGTGGTGCTGATGTGTCGTTTTAACGCAGAAACTTTATGCTGATGCTGCAGGCCTCCCAGACCATAGTTTAGTCATTCATTTAGAAACTTTCCGTTATGCAGCAAACTCCTCTGTACTTTATTCCCTTGAAGCCAGGAGTGTCTTATCTTGTTCCCAAGACATTAAATGGTCGTTCCTAGAAGGATGTTAACTCTGATGGGGACTATCTTTATGCACTTGATATAATTAGAGATGCAGTTTCACTCGGGTGTTGAATAACAAAAAAAAATAAAAAATCCTGAAAATCCAATCTTCTCTGATCACCTGATGCGGCTCCTCTCATTGTATCCATGACCACATGAAGCTGGGGGGAGCAAATGGCAGGAGGTGCTTAATCAGGTGTTAAAAAACTAGGTTAATATTCAACCATAAACACACAGTGAAGCTGCTAATGAAACACAGCTGTTTGGAGACATGAGTATAAATATTAGTAGAAATGTTGGAGGGTTTCTGTTTCAATGGATTTTTATGTGAGTTTCAGCAATATTCCTTCCTTTAATGTTTCCCATCTTCAAATTTCTGTCCCTTCAGGCGGCTATGCAAGCCATTGAGAGCAGAGGAGCTGAGTTCTACACCAATGGTTGTGCCGAACACATGAACGGCTCAGAGCTATCCAGGATGAAGGAAGTAGCCTTTGAGAAGAACCCCTCAGAGCCGATGGTATGCATGCTCTCTGCCCAGAAGGCCGTCGCTTTGTGTTTGGATATCAACTGATTCCTCCTTTTGGTCCGTTTCTCATCTGTAGGGTGTCACTCTGAAAATAAATGAAAAGCAGCGCTGCACGGTGGCCAGAATATTACACGGTGGGATGATCCACAGACAAGGTGATTATTTTTTCTTCGGGATATGTTCCAGGTGATGTTGGGGGATAATATAAGGTTGCATCCATTCAGTTGACACACAGGCTCAAATGTATGCATACCCTGAAACTCATATTTGGATTGGTATCCTTTAGCAAGATTAGAGAAAAGCCAGACCTATTCTGTAGAAAAATCAGATGCTGGGATAACTGAGGACCTTTAGCAGAAGTGTAAAAGTTTATGACAGTTCTTGGCAAAAGCTAAACAGTTCAGATATTCTTTTTGGGGTTTAAGTCAGAGTCAGACTAGAAGGTTAATGTTAGCCTGATATCTCCATTATTAGGCCGGTTTTAGTGCGTTTCTGGATTAATTTTTTATTTTTTTCTAACTTTGAAAGTGAAACATCAACCTCAGATGTAAGGAATTTTGTTAGGAAGTGGAGAAGACATTTTTAATTATAATCCGTTACTTTAAACAGAAGTTAACACTGAAATAAAAAGCAAGTTTTAATACATCCATGTTATACATTGAAATTTTAAATAAGAAAATGATGTAATAATAATAAAATAAAAAAATCTAAAGTGTTTTTTGAAGTAGAAAATAATTGTTCAATTTAGGGTATAGACAATTTCCTGATTCACATATTTTATAAAACACCTGAACTTACGTTTTTTTTGTCTTTCTTTTTCATGGCTAAATGAGAGCAGTGGGCGTTCGGCTACCTTGCAAGGCTTTTAAACTGGGTTTGATTGGTGACAAAGCCATTCTCAAGTACATATCAGGATGCGTATTTGTGAGCCTAGATCGATATTTATTTTTTATTCGGTTCATTATGGAGAATCCTGCTTCACAGCGGCAGGTTGAGCCATACATACTCAAAATGTGCAGGGTCATCTTTAAGCACAGCATTTCACTTTTCTTTCACCAGTTCACCGCAGTTCTTCCAGCAGTCCGCACTTTCTCTGCTTTCTTTTTCTCATCGTCTTCTCCTTCTTTGAGGTGGACTTTCTCACTTAAAAAAATATTAAAATGACTTTTTACCTACTTATAACAGCAAATATAGCAAAGCTGCTCTCTGCCACTAAACACAGGAGCAGCAATAGCATCAGATGTATCTGTACACACTTTACTGGATGTGCTTCATTTAAAAAAAAAAAGGTCTTAAATGCAAAATGTTTATATTTATATTTTTTAACAATTTTGATATAATTACTGCTCTATTGGGGTCGCTCTGTCAACTAAAAGCATGTTTTACAGTCTCTTTACTCCAGTTTATGATTAATTGATTACTAAATTAGTTGACAATTATTCCAATAATAGATTAATCAAGATTAATCAGATTAATTGTTTCGGCCCTAATCGTAAACAATCCTTGTAAAGACGTTGCAGTCCTCATGTACGTATTTAAAATCGTGATATTTTGCCAAATTTATTTATTTTACTTATTTATTTTTTTCCCCCACACTGTTATTTGAGAGTTGATACAGCTTTTTAGTCAGAGGACTGTAGACTCTCAAGCCTGGTGGTGGTATTATGATGCTGTGGGATTGTTTTAGTTTATTGTCTAAATGAAGTCTGATAAGTAGATGGAATTATGAAGAGCTTTAGATTTTTTAACTTCATTTCAAATCCTGAGGCAGGCAGTTAAAAGGTGCTCCAGCACAACAGTGATTAAGGCTGCATGACATTTAAAAATGTTGCAATTGCAGTATATTGATAAATGTTATAGGGGGCGCTATACATGTTTAGTATAGGTCAATGTCATTCATCTAAAATGTAAGCCCCTCCTGCCATGAGAATCTGTCCAATTTGCTAAATATGACATTGGCATATTACATTTGAGGTTGGTAATGCTTAATTACACTACTATTACATATTATACTTTGCTGTGTTACATTAACTGGTATTGCAATGATCATGTATTCACAATTTATTGTGCTGCCCTAACTGTCATTTAAAATCCATACAATAACCAGTTATTGCAACAGCACCTTGGGATTAGATAAAGTATGCCAACTGCTGGAAATGCCCAGAACTCCTTCTCATTAAAAATGTATGAAGTATGCTTTAAGAGCCACATCTGGGCCAGAAAACATGGCTTCTCTGCAACTTGCGCAGGGGAATTTTTTCAAATATTTGCCAATTTGTATTAAATATTTAAAATCCACCACCATATATATATAAAAAAAAAAAAAAAATCAAAAAACAAAAAACAGGCTCAGGATGTAGGGTGTGCTACTGATTGTAGCAGCCTTGCTTCTGTCCCTGAGCAGCTTTGACTACAATTTAGCTAGCTGCTGTCAGCGTGTGAAGGGGTGAATAATAATGTGAAGCTCTTGAGTCCTTGGACTTTTTAAAGGGGTATGTAAATTCAGGTTATTGAACATTTACCATTCAACCTCTAGAATACATTTTGGATGCATCAGTAAATGCCAGAATAACCTAGATTTTATTTTTTTAATTAAGGTTAGAAAAGCAGCAGAAACCCTTAGAAATAAATGTGGGTTATTTGTTTGCAGGCTCTATACATGAAGGGGATGAGATAGCAGAAATCAATGGGAAAAGTGTGACGAACCATTCTGTTGATCAACTACAGAAGATTCTGGTGAGTTGGACACTGTCAGTTATCATCCTAGCTTTTAATCTCACATCTCTTGGTTACTAACGTCTTGAAAAACCTCCTGCAGAAAGAAACAACTGGCGTGGTTACAATGAAGATCATCCCTAAGATGCAGAATCGCTCCAGAATCTGCGAGGTAATATCGACGCCATGCACGCTCTAGTTTTGGCATTTCTTTTTCTTCTTTTCCATGTCGGAGATGAAGTGTAACTTTTATTTCTTCACTTTTTTCATATTTATAAAGGTTTTGTTTAGGTCCATCTGCTCTTAGTCAGTGAGCAAATCAGGTGACTATGAAATTAGTTCCTGTTAAAGGGTATTCGTACCTGTAGTTATAGTTGTCTAGCCTAGTTGAAACGCACTAATGGTGGGTTTCATACTGCCATCTACTGGACACAGCAGGCATGCTATTCCATCATCCAGCCTTCTGCCAAGAAAATGGCTGCTCTTGATCAAAAGTACACTGAACCACAGCTTTTGAAATGCTGCTGATTGTTCATTTAAAGTGAAATGGATTTATTTTAAATGAAAAAGTGTTTTGTTTTGTTTTTTCTCCAATGCTTTGTGTTTGCTATAATCAGTGATTGCAACCTAGCTTCCACTTTGTAATTCATTAGCTGGTTTAGTGAGACATTCTTCGTGTACTATCGCACCAAGAACATGGATTTAGTGACCCAGCACTTTGTTTAGTTTTTATGCATCTAGTGGGGATATTATGTTTCTGTAACCTGGAAAAGGAAACAGTTGAATGTCTTGCAAAATCACTAATATACAGCTGCATCCTTGCACTTATTGACACCCTTGCTAAAGCTTCAGAGATTTTGCTCCTTCTATTGCAGAAGCATAATTTTGTTTCATCACGATTATTATTTCATTTCGAGTAAATTTATTCAGATTATTGGTTATATTTTACAAAGGAAAATTCAAAAGATTTTAAGATATCTGTTGCTGGGGTGCCAACAAGTAAAGAGGAAAGTATGCATTTTCAAAAAAACTAACTAAAAAAAGAAAAACATAAAATTGACACCTGAAACTAGGGCTGCAACAACGAATCGATAAAATCGATAAAAATCGACTTTTAAAAGCGTTGGCAACGAATTTCATCATCGATTAGTTGTGTCGCGCGATTAATGCGTCATCCGCCGCCGCCGTCCTCCGGGGGAAGAAAAAAAATATGGCGGAGAGAGTCAGCGCCGCAGTTGCGGTGTTGCCAACTCAGCGACTTTTCAGACCCCTCCAGCGACTATTTTTCAAAAAAGCGACTAGCGACAAATCTGGCGACTTTTTACGGTGTCACTGGCGGCTTTTGCCTGCCGCGGGGCGCCTCCCTCATCCCAACCCCTTTCTCCCTCTCCCACGGGAATCCCTCTCAGCGTGCAGTCAGAGCCGCAGGATATTGGTGAGGAGTTTACCCTCAGCGTCCAGACTGCAAATGAAGCGCGCATGCGCCGGGATTGACGGCGCAAATTGATCACAATAATTAAAATAGCCTGCGCTTTGTAAAGTGAAAAAAGTCGTAACATGCAACTTTTGTAAAAACAAATGAACATGGCACGGAACCACCACTGTTATGACGCAGCACCTGAAAAGAAAACACGTTGGAGCCTTCAATGGCAGTGAAGAGAGCTCATCAGCAGGATGAGTAACCGTTTGTTTGGTTTTAAAGTGGGGAAACGTAACGTTAGTTTCTCAGGTAGCTCATCTGATGCTTTCCTTACCGTGTTAGTAGGTTACAGACAGGAATAAGGTTGGCTACTTATTTTACTTTTAATTTCATTTGAATTAGCTTAAGCAGCGTTTATATTTCCTTTATAAATAAATTAACTTGCAAATTATGAGGGCAAGGCTTTTAAAGTTTAAATCTTCTGGCAAAGATAAAGAAAATAAGATCCTGCAATTTATGGAAGTAGAGCAGAATATAATCCAGCAAGATCAGTAATATGTCAATTAATTATATGCCACATTCCCATGTAAATATCTGTCTTTAGAGGATGTGTTTTTTACCACCCCTAGTTCTCTCATTTTTATTCCAAATACAATTTCTAATTTGAATCACAGGGCTATTTTTATCTCTATGGTTCAGTATTTTCTCAAGCAGCAACTTTAACTGCTATACTTTCCTGTCTTAAAAGGCAGAACTCTTCTAGTCTAAAAAAAACTAAACTGTTGAAATGGGGGGGGGCCTATTGTTTGAACCCCTTAGGGGCTTTAAAAAACAAAAATGCCTGTCTCTTTTTGCGCTTTATGAAACAAAGTACCCTATATTTTGTGGATGTTCAGCTACATTTCTCATGTAAGTTTGCGTAGTTTTGACACAAACATTTATTTTTCATATTGCACCAGTACAGTTAATGAGCAACCTGTACTTGTGTGCTTGTTTGTTCTGTCTAAAATGTTTATTTTGGAATAAAGAGGTTAATATAAAAAATTTTTTTTGTCCGATTCATCGATTAATCGAAAAAATAATCGGCCGATTCATCGATTTTTAAAATAATCGTTAGTTGCAGCCCTACCTGAAACATCTACTTGCGTTAGGTGAATCTCTCATGCTCCGTACTAAAAGTTGTCACTGAACTTTTCTCGCTATGCTCCAGACTGTTTATCGATTACTCTACATTTGCTGCAGCGTTCCATAGTAGTGACATCAAAACAATTCATATTTAGCTTAGCGTAGCTGATAGCAAAATGAAAAGTACCAACTCTTTATATCTAAGGGATAGTAATACTCCTTTCTCCTGGAGTGAAGGTAATACAGATTTGTTTTATAAATTGGAATACTAGTAAAACAATTGTTTCAGTAACTAAGGTCTCTAAATAAAGTATATCTTATTTAGATTATTTACACACAAACTGATTTTAATTGTGCATACAGTGGTCTGCAAATGTTTGGGCAACCTTGTTAATTTCCATGATTTTCCTTCATAAATCGTTGGTTCTTAGGATAAAAAAAATCAGTTTAATATATCATATAGGAGACAAACAGTGATAATTGAGAAGTGAAACGAAGTTTATACCATTTACAGGAAGTGTGCAATAATTGTTTAAACAAAATTAGGCATGTGCATAAATTTGGGCACCACAATCAAAAAAAATAACTGAATATTTAGTAGATCCCCCTTTTGCAGAAACAACAGCTTCTAAACGCTTCCTATGAGAGTCTGGATTCTGGTTGGAGGTATTTTGGACCATTCATCTTTACAAAACCCCTCTAATTCATTCAGTTTTGATGGTTTCCGAGCATGGACAGCTCTCTTTAAGTCACACCACAGATTTTAAATAATATTCAGGTCTGGGGACTGAGATGGCCATTCCAGAACGTTGTACTTGTTCCTCTGCATGAATGCCTTAGTAGATTTTGAGCAGTGTTTAGGGTCATTGTCCTGTTGAAAGATCCAGCCCCGGCACAGCTTCAGCCTTGTCACTGATTCCTGGACATAGGTCTCCAGAATCTGTTGATATTTGGTGGAATCCATGCGTCCCTCAACTTTAACAAGATTCCCAGTCCCTGCACTGGCCACACAGGCCCACAGCAGGATGGAACCACCACCAAATTTTACTGTAGGCAGCAGGTGTTTTTCTAGGAATGCTGTGTTGTTTTTCCTCCATGCATGACGCCCCTTGTTATGTCCAAATAACTCAATTTTAGTTTCATCAGTCCACAGCACCTTATTCCAAAAGGAAGCCGGCTTGTCCAAATGTGCTTTAGCATACCTCAAGCGGCTTTGTTTGTGATGTGGGCGGAGAAAAGGCTTCCTCCGCATCACTCTTGCGTGCAGCATCTCCTTGTGTTAAGTGCGTGCAACAGTTGTACGATTCACAATGACTCCATCTGCAGCAAGATCATGTTGTTTGTCTTTGGTGCTGGCCTGTGGGTTGACTTTGACTGTTCTAACCATTCTTCGCTTCTGTTTATCCGTGATTTTCCTTGGTCTGCCACTTCGATCCTTAACTTGAACTGTGCCTGTGTTCTTCCATTTCCTGACTATGTTCCTAACTGTCGAAACGGACAACTGATATCTCTTAGACAGCTTTCGGTATCCTTCCCCTAATTCATGATGGTGAACAATCTTTGTTTTCAGGTCATGTGACAGTAGTTTTGAGGCTCCAATGTCGCTACTCATCATAGAAGATTCACAGAGGGGGGAAACTTACAATTGCCCCCCCTTAAATACTCTCTCATAATTGGGTTCACCTGTGTATGTAGGTCAAGGGTCACTGAGCTTCCCAAACCAATTTTGATTTCCAATAATTGGTTCTAGAGATTTTTAAATCAGTAAAATGACAACAGTGCCCAAATTTATGCACATGCCTAATTTTGTTAAAACAATTATTGCACACTTCCTGTAAATGGTATAAACTTCGTTGTACCTCTCAAATATCACTGTGTTTGTCTCCTATATGATATATTTAACTGATTTTTTTTATCCTAAGAACCAACGATTTATGAAGGAAAATCATGGAAATTAACAAGGTTGCCCAAACTTTTGCAGACCACTGTATTTCCTCCACTTATGCTTATGAAAGAAACTTAAAAAGGTATATCAGATAAATAAATAAAAAATCATAGAAATGTTGGAAACCTATATTTAATATCATCATAATCTAATTTTAATCTGACAAATGCGACCAATTGGAACACATTTTAATTTGTAAGACCTAACTAATTGGAATATATTCCCACAGTCATACCTGTATGACTGTGGGAATATATCCTTGTTTTGTTTTGTGCTCCTGAAGCAAAAAGTTCTCATGTTATCAATGAGAAACCTTTATATTGCCACTTTTTTTCTGAAACTTTTACTTCAGTTCAAGGTTTCAGATCTCAGAGATATTTATGCCGTTTTAAACAAATTAATAATCCAAATGGCTTACTGGTATATCTTCTTTTTTTAAAGAACAAAATATGCCCAACAAGAATAGCTAGTCTGCATAGATAATATATTAATAATTATTCTTCCTTTTTTCTTTAACCTAGTTTCAATCTGATCCTAATCTGCAGATGTACATGAGGGCTCAGTTTGACTACGACCCTTCCAAGGACGACCTCATCCCGTGCAAAGAGGCCGGCTTAAAGTTTCAGACCGGCGACATCATCTACATCATCAACAAGCAGGATCCAAACTGGTGGCAGGGCAGAGTGGAGAACAGTGCTGTAGACTTTGCTGGACTGATACCCTCTCCAGAACTCCAAGAATGGTAAACAACCCTAAAGTGCCTCGTCCTGCAGTGTAAAAAATGCATTCCACAGATGCCGGCTTGATATGTGTATTTTTTTTGTAGGAGGGTGGCCAGTAAAAGCAAGGCCAAACAGGGCAGTCAGTCCTGCAGCCCGTTTGGAAAGAAAAAGAAGTGCAAAGACAAGTACCTTGCCAAACACAGCTCTAGTGAGTGTGCTTTTCTTATCACTAATCCTATGTTGTGAGCTTATCTAAACAAATCAACTCTGTTCCTGCAGTTTTTGACCAGCTGGATGTGATATCCTATGAGGAGGTTGTGAGGCTCCCTGCGTTTAAAAGGAAAACTCTGGTGCTCATTGGTGAGCTTTAACATGTTCATACTGCCTTTAGTTTAGGAGGAATTCAGTTTTCAAGAATTTGGTTTCAGATTTTTTAAATAAAACTTGTAATGTTCACGCATATTTAGCACATAAACGCAGAAATGCACTTTTTAAATTTAATTTGAATTCATTTTAATTTAATTCTAATGTTTATTATTCAAGCTACGCTTTGACAAAAATTACCTTCAAATATGTAGTTAAGAGAATTCTGCTCCTCCTAGGGGCCCCTGGTGTTGGAAGGAGAAACATCAAAAGTGCTCTTTTAACAAAATACCCTGAGAAATTCTCCTACCCTGCACCACGTGAGCAGACTTTTCACCTGTTTTTGCAGCTCATATAGCGTTTTGCACACTTCTCATTGGCTGAAGTTTTTTTTTTTTACTTTGAATCTGCACAGACACCACCAGACCACAGCGTAAGGACGAGGAGAACGGAAAGGAGTATTACTTCATGTCAAATGAAGACATGACCAAGTGCATTTCTAGAAACGAGCTGCTGGAGTACGGAAGCTTTCAGGGATTCATGTTTGGAACCAAGTTTGAAACGATCCATAAGATCCACGAACAGGACAAGATTGCAGTGCTGGACATAGAACCACAGGTCAGAAATCATTATTTCAATTCTTTTTACTAGTATTGGGCATAGACTTGTTTTTTAATCTAGATTAGTCTCACTATAACCTTTGAATTAATCTAGATTAAAATTGCTCATTTGAATCCTGCCACAAGCATTCATGATATTTGTGTGCTATCGCCAGAAGAATGTTTACTTTTTTATGTTTGCAAAATCACAAGTATTTCTTTCTTCTTGCTTAAGATTTTGAAAAAGTTAAAAAAATACTTTTTTTGCTAATTTGTTACTGTGTTTTTGCTGCAAAAAAAGTGTGTCCCACTTCCAATTATAGATGTCATATTTTAACAAAAAAGTGTTTACAAAAATCTGTAATACACGTCGCCTCTATCAACTTTTCATCTTTCTCCACTGCGTGGTGGTCTTGTATTCTCCTACCATTTGCACATCTTTATTTTTGGCTCCCACTTAATACCAATAGCCTTGCACTGTGGGGCGATTCTAACAAATTAAATTAGTAGATGTTAATCTGCTTTTAGCATTTTAAGAGCATTTGAAATAAATCAATGCACAATAATGTCCATTTTAAAAGCTTCTTTTAAAAATCTAAGAATCACTTCAGGAACTTTATATTAAGATTGGTTAGTGTTAAAAAAAAAAAAAAATAATCTAATGTTCATTCTAATGTTGATTAAATCATTTCTCCTTTCAGACCCTGAAGCTTGTTCGGACTGCAGATTTTTCTCCTCTTGTGGTTTTCATCGCTCCCACTAACACAGCTCCACAGGTGATAATAAGAGAGAAAAAAACAGTGCCTTTAAAACTGTATAAACCACTCAACAAAAATGTATCTAAATAAGTCATTTTTTAAATTAATATAAGTGCATTTTGTCTTGAATTGAGTTCAGTGTGAAACTTGGAACAAGACAATTTTCATTTAAAATAAGATTTCAAGTGCTTATTATCTAATTATCCTATTTTAAGAGTAAATATACTTGTTCCATTGGCAAATCAACTTATTTACCTGCTCAAATTTTGGGTAAATATATTTGATTTAATAAATATTAACTTATTTCTAGATCGTTTTTGCAGTGTAGTTTGGTTTGGAGTTTTTGGTACACTATCGCAAACTTGTTTATACGTGTATTGCATGTTATTTTTGGTGATTGGGCTAAGGAGAGTCTAAATATGCCATAAAATGTTGAGATATTTTTCTAGTAAATGTAAGAAATCATAACACACTTTCCTTAAAGTTTATGCTGCTCTCTGTTGATCTGTCATGTAGATTCTGTAATTAGAAAAGGGTTTAAATACTTTTAAAAGACACTAATTCGAAAGCTCAACAGACTAATCTACTAATAAAACTATAATATAATGTTTCTTTTCTTTTTGTTTTTCAGACGGAAAACATTCAGATGATCCAGAAAGAGTCTGATGCCATTTTGAGCACATATGGACACTTCTTTGATGTGGTTCTCGTCAACAATGACGTAGATGAAAGCGTTAAAGGGGTGGAGGAGGCCATGGAGCAGGCCACCTCCACTCTACAGTGGGTGCCTATATCCTGGGTCTACTAGAGGCTCTCTGGCACCAGTTTTATTCAAAAGCGGTGCAATATCACTCCTTACACCAAACTTCCGAGTTAGCAGCGTTTTTGATCACCGGATTGTTGTTTGCACAAAAAAAGCAATATGTTGAAAGGATAATCTCAGGACGGGTGTTTCAGATATCTCCAGGAGGTCAGTATAGGTGCCCCACACATTTAAGGTTGCTGATAGATTATCAAATGCAAAACGGGACCTCAACTGTGAAAGAAAGAAATGCTTTAAAATAAATGGAAATAGTCAAATGAAACATCAGCTGGAATGCTCCCTTTTTTTCTGATCCCATTAGATGAAATGAGACTATTAGCTTCTTCTGTTTGTGTCACTCCATATATTCAGCACAAAAGCAACCAAGTCAACCACTATCTGATGGGGTACTGTAAAAGCACTTTCAGCAAATTAAAAAAATAAACTCATCATAACTCCTAGCATTGTTGCAGCTTTGTTTTTCATGGTGTTTTCTTTTTCTCCCTAAAACTTACTGTAAATGCATTCAGGTGACTCAACTGATTTGAAAAGATGCATATTGCCAAAACCTTTCAGATAACTCTTTTAGGAATAATAGCAGTATGTTCTAAACAGTGGTAAAAGCTCAGGTCCTTACACTAACTTTTTTTTTTTTTATGTACAACTACTGGAGTATTTATAAGAACACTGATGAATTTCCATCTCTGGGGACAGTTTTAACTCTCATTGATCTTTATTTATCACTGGATTGCTGATAGGCTGTTGGTAGTACACAGTGCTGTAAAGTCACCAGCCGCCATATTGGTACTCCCTAGTTAGACCGGTCACAATGTAAACAATACGCGTGCTACAGCATCAAACAACGATGATGTTCTCATTTCCAGGGGGTTTAAGACTTATAAAGATAAATTCATCACTTTGACACACACTTGCTGTTTCATAGCATCGGTAGATTACTGTAATTTATGGTAAGAAAAAATAGGCACATCACATTGCATATTCTGTATGAAGTCTGTAAATCACGTATTATAACATATTATACAAATCCATCAGAACAAAATTAGTGTGTTCATGGAGCATAATAATACTTTAGTCAGATTACAAGCACACATTATCTGATGATGTGCCAAAAGTGCTAAATTGATTATGTGATATACATGTATTAATTACATTGTTATGGTAATTACATTAAAGGTATTTTTATGGCATGACTCCGTGAAAGGAGGGAATACCAAGATGGCGGCAGGAGACTTCAGTTTATTCGGTCTATCAGCAATCCAGTGAATAGAGATCAGATTTTCCTCTAAGGCTCCTTTAAATTGTGTCGTTCCTCAAGGCCCCATCTTACAAACTCCTATATTCTTCCCTTATTTACTTTTTTTAAAAATAATTTTTTATTTTTTTTTTTCTGATGATTTACTAACCTGTCTCTCTGATGGAGCTGAACATTAATTAAATGGAAATAAAACTGCGGTGATAATTTTTTCGGACATTTTACATGTTAACAGAGTACAGTACGTGTACTGCTGTATTTTTGAAAACAGTTTTACATATAGGTTACTGCAGTCGTCAAATCTAGCTTTTCCATCTCTGAAATCACATCCTATCTAATATTACCATTTGGGTTTGTTCTACTCTGTTGTTTCTTCTGTATTGGACAACCCCAGATAATTGGATGGACAAGCCTGTTCAGCTGGTCCGAAATCCTTTTGCTGGTAAAAGAGGACAAGTGCACGATTCCCTTAGTGTCCTCCCTGAACTCTGTGTATTTCTTTTTTTTTTTTTTTACTATTGTTTTTATGTGTTTGAAGCAATTATATGTTTTGTTTGTGATACGTAGCATGTTCCCTCTGTAGAACTCGGAGGTCTGCTGTTCATCTTCCCTATTACCATGGAGGCAGAGCTTTATCTTTACTGCTCCCAATTATAGGAATGATCGCCGCTCTGTGAGGATGGTCTACACGTTCAATTATTTTAAAAGTATTTTAAAGACTAATAACTTGGCTTCTGACTTCAGTTGAGCAAAAGTCTCAGGCTGGTTTCATCAGTTATTTTCCATTCTTTCTGTTTTACCCTGCCTTTATTCTATTAGTTTTACTGCTGTTTTATGTTTTATTTCTTCCACTGACCTGTACAGCATTTTTGTCACCTTTGGTGTGCAAAGCCATCAATAAATCAATGAATTGATTGATTTCCATAAAGGCTGCATGTTGGTGCAGTCCTGGGTTTGATTCCTAGCCATCGGCGTTTCTGCATGTTCTCCCTTTGAGAGTGGATTCTCTGCAGGTACTCCACTGTGCTCCCACAGTCTAAAAGCATGACTGTTTCTGTAGGATAACCATCTCTAAATTGGCCTTAAGTGTGTCTCTGCGTTGCCCTGTGATAGTACGGCCACCTTTTCAGGGTATACCTCGACTTCTCCCCCATAGACTGCTGGAAATTGGTAAATCTTCATATTTTGTTTTTGTGTAAAACATGAATTGTTTTGTTTTTATTCTACAAAAAGTATATTAAATGTTAGGTTTTAAATATAGCAGTTTCTGCCTTTTCATAAACTCAAACATTTACTATATAAGCAAGAAAACCAGGAACCACCTTACTTCCCTAATGCATGGATTCAACAAACTCTTGGCCCCAGAGAACAGCTATTCCAGCTCAGTGCGATTGGGCTTCATTCCATTGGTCCTCTGCATGTGTTGGTTTTGCATCACAAACTGAGTGAATACTTTAAAGACGGCACAGGTTTCCTTCATGATCAATGTTTGGAGATTGGACTGGCCATTCTTAGTTCTTTTGATTTTGAAGCAAGATCCAGCCCACAAATTGGCATCTTGGGGTCCATCGACTTCTTATGGTTTGAAAAGGCATTTCCTAACCTAGTGAGACCTCTTCTATTTTGGCATGTTCAAATTCATTTATCAGCCATAGTGTGAGGTAAACGGGTTTGATTCTATTGAGTGAAAAACATTCCCATCGAGTGACACCTGTGCCACCATGCTCCTCTGTATAATGTGAGGATTTGGGGGTTGATTGACAAACTGTTTGGACCCAACAGCACTACTTGCAACAATCTAAAAAATGTGGCATTTTTTCTCTTTTTGGCCAGCAAATGTTTCATTATAATCTCTTCAAACTACTTGATCTCTTCTAATTATGACCATACCCACTGGTAACTGAACACCTTCATTCATCACTAATGAGTTGATCATTGGTCGACTCATTTTGGCTAATCTTTGATCCATACTGATGGTAATTTTCTAAATGTCTGTCTGGTTTTTCTTTCTTTGATTTTCTAAGCATTTAAGACGATCTCAGCTGAGCCACTTATCATTTTTACACTGTTTTTCACATGTTGTCCCCTCCCTTATCAACTTTTCAAAGCACCATGTTTCCTCTGACCAATGTTTATAATGATCACTAATCAGCACTTTCATATGATGCCTTTCTTATTATTATAACAGACTTTTTGTTTACATACATGTAGTGAATGATCTCAATTATAGAACGCAGAAAAGTTATTATTCTAAAGCCACTTTATTTTTTTTGTCTTAAGACTAAGCAGCACATATGTCATGGCAGAATCTGTTTGCTTATTACCTTTCTACACTCATATCTGCTTTTTGCACTTTCTGCGAGAGATGGATTTATCTTGGTCGCTATGTTGGACAGCTTTTATTTTTTTACAGTGCTGTATTTTAGTTGCTTTAAATTAAATGTCAATCACTCTGTACCGAATTTCATAGGGCTTGATTTAAAAAAAAAAAACGACGTAACAAAAAGTTGAATTTGTTATATAATTAAGCAATGGTTAAATTTTGACTTAAAAGTGTTATGATGAATTGAAAAAGACATAACCTGCTTTAAAAGCATGATTATGGTTTGTGTTTTAAACAAGATTTAAAACAATTAACCTTCTTTTACCATACTGCAGTTTTTTAACATCCACAGTCTAACGGAAATAATTCCAGGAGACTGACTAGAAAGACAATGTAATTCAAATAAACGCAATGGTTAGGCTTGATGCTCATCAACCATGTTTATTTTTATTTTTTTCACTTTCACTTGAAAATTCCCACAGTACAATAAGACCACCTGTGCTCCCTTTGAGTGTTTTCAAGTAGAATAATCAAAATCAGTTTTTTAATAATTAATAACTGAGACATGCACCTCTAAAATAGGCCATTTGCTGGAAAAAATATAGCATTAATAATAAAGCAATAAATAGCAATAATAAAGTCAAATGTTAGGATTTCTAATATGTATATAGGTTCCATTCAAGATGAAAACTCTTCTTTTTAAATACATCCCATCCTGGGATAGTCTAGGTTAACCTAGTTTGAAATTGATAAATAACCTCATGGAAATAACATAATAAAAGAAACATTCAACAATTAATTGATTTTGAAGAATAGTTGTTATTTGATGCCTTTCTTGGTGTGCTCACATTCCTCAGACCTGTCGTCACTGGAACAGGAAAAGTTAACTTGGAGTTGAGAACCACAGACAAATAATGTATTATGTGTTTATGCAGCTGTGGTATCAATTTCAGTTTAATTTACTAAAAATCACCATTTTATTTATCTTCCAGGTTTTACTTGGCTGCATAATTACATGAACTATAACTGTGTGTATCATTTGGGTTAAAGTTTGGTGTCAATAAACCATACCATTGTGACAGAGACTGTTTCTAGAGGAAAGACTTTCTTTTTGGGTGACACTCAGGGACATACAGTTGTCAACTGGCGCCATCATGTGGTTGACTTTAAAACCAAAGGCACTGTTAGCAAAAAACAAAAACCCTTTTTTTTTTGCTCTTCAGATTGTCATAAAGTTTGTTTCAGTGATTAATGCGACCTGTAATTCCAAAACAATATAAGCATTAGTGACAAAACCAGAAAAGACCATCTGTTTTGAATCATGGTCACTTTACTATAACAGTTAATATCAAAACATTCTAAAGTGCTTCAGAGTTATAAGTGACAAACCATATATTATGAAATAAGTTTAAAATCATAGCATAATTAGTCATATAAAAGGCGAATAAACATTTAAGATACAAGGAAATCCTGCCTATTTCAAATAACTGGATATTTCATGAAAAGCTTCTAGATTTTTTTCAGTAAATCTGGAAAGTTTACACTAGCAAAATAACTAAACACGTAAAAATCATGGGCTCCAGAGTCCAAATTAATAATGGTCCAGTATGTCAAGTCTTAGAGTAAGCATGTTGAATCCCATTGAGAACAGTTGGTTCAAGAAAAAAAAAAAAAAAATCAAATTCAGACTCCAAATTTTCTCTACCTCTTAAAAAAATAATTTACTGTCAGGTAGTTTTTTTTTTCCTACAGTGAGCTTCGCCACACCCCCTCTCCGAGAACGCCATTTTGTTGACATACACGTTTGAAATCAACATTAGCTCCTTTAAATGAGCTTTAACTCCTATTATAAACATAACATGTATACTATTTGAAGGGTGTGCAGTTACGATATCTGAGCATAACAGTTTATCTCTAGGGGGGGGATAAAAACGCCGTATTTGAAGCGCGAGTCTCCCATTTCAACATGAAACTCGCCGCTGCTGACGTCATCCAGCCATCTTTGTGCCCCTAATCCAAGCGGCTGTTTATTACACCTTCATTACCGCACAGACCGGGTTCCACAGCCTACAGGTGCCGCATCGCCAGGAAGAAAACACAGAGAGAAAAATCATTTTTTGCTCTTTTATTTTTTTTTCCTGTAACGTGGGGAGACATTCACCGCTGCTCATAGGACAGAGGCAGGGAAAAAACGCCACAATAACCAACCAAAGGCTGCCAGAGGACAGAGAGGAGCGCAGAAGACAATCCACATCCATCTGCCAGCCACTTAGAGCGCGCTCACATCTTCACTCCGGATTTCAGTTGCAGCTGTCGAGCTAATACCGCCAGGAACATGTAAGTACAACCCCGTTATAAAGCTCATTTTAAAATAAAATCCCCACTTGATGCGATTCAGCGCTCACGACTGAACCTGAGCAGCTATTTTAGGGATTTACAGCGTCTCCTCGCGCGCTCCCACCCCCCCTCTCCACTGTATCGCGCAGTATTTTCCGTCTCTCACGTTCTTAATAGTCAAATAAATCGCAGGAATTTAAATTTAAGAGTCTGATAACGTTTAAGGAAAAGCTATGGTATCGGCCTAACCTTGAGCAGATCAGCTTCATCTCTAATTTAGTGACGTTATTGGCCCTATAATGTTCCTTTTTTCTTTTTTTCTTTTTTTAATGAGCTTAGTTTTTTTTTATCTCCTTGCTCTTATTTGTCCGATGCTTTCTAATACACACGCATATTTATGTCGTTATGTTTTGCTACATTTCTACATTTTGAATAAAAAGGCACCTGTGTATGAAATGATCCCTTGCCAATAAAAAAATAAATAAATAAATCAGCAGGAAAACAGTGTCCAACATGTCCTAATGAACATACCCCCTCATGTTGGTCTTCCTAAACAGCAGGTGACGAAGGAAGCTAATTCTAGAAGCAGCAAGGACACAAAGCTCAACAAACCCTCACGGTTTCAACCGTGAAGGCAGCAAAGCGTCGACAGAAACTAACAAATATCCATCGCTCGATCACCTTTTTTTTTTTTTTTTTTTGGAACGAAATGTTAGCTTTGAATTCAGTTTAGGCCTAGTTTCCGTGATATTTGCAGCCCACAGAGGGGGGTGGGGATAGCCTAGCCTTCTGCTGTATGTCGTCGATCGTCATGCGAGGGCGGACAGCTAGGCCTACATATCTGCTCACAATTAATCGTAGCTGTGTTATTTTGGTCATTTAACACAAATTTAACAAATTAATTCGTGTATTTTATATATATACTGTATCATTGTGATGAGCATTCATATATAAAGGGTGTGCTAAATAAAATATAGCTATGATAGCTCTGTTTTTCAGGCTTCGCATGACATTTAGATTGTCTCGTGTCAACATATCATCCACCCGTGGCCTCACACTTGATAAGTTTTTCCCTTGGTGGCTTTCATGAAAATGAATCCCTCCACGCCCTCGGTGGGATAAGATTTAACAGGACTGGTATGTCATCGTTGAACTTAGTGGCTGTTTCATAAGATAAGTCTTAAAATAAGAGCGAAGTCATGTAGCATCAAACGGAAAGAGGTGCTGAGGCGCTGTCCAGTGCTGAAATGTCACTGTCCAGGGTGCTGAAAATGAAACGGCATGCATTTCCAGTCACACCATTTATTTAATTATTCATTTATGAAACACATCCAAAACCAACATCAATCCAATCAAATGTTGTACATGAGAATTATAACAGACTGAACTCAGACACATTTTTAAGTTTGTTAAAGGTCCAACGATATATATTTATCTGATTTCATCATTGATCATATTCATATTTGATTTAAATGGATTATCTTGCATTATTTTAAATATGTGTCACCAGGTTTTTAATAATTGTTTGGATTCACTTTGAATTATAATTATATAAAATCTTGTATCATATTCTTTGGTTATATTTAAGCAAAATCCAATGTGGCAGAGATTTAAAGATTAGGCTGTAGTAGTATAAAACATTCCTACCTTTACAAATGAGCTACTAGATCATAATTAAGCTAGGAAATTATTTTTAAAAATCCGTGAAAGAAAACATCAAACAAAATCACACACTATTCAACCAAAGCTAAACCTTGAAAATATGGTTTATTTCATTGTATTTTCATAATCCTGGGCAGATTTAATTCAAAATAGGGGTCTTTACCAGAGCCTTGAAACTGTGCCCATTGAAGTTCCCTTTAGTTTTCAATCTGACCTGGGAACCAGTAAAAGTAAATAGTTCTTATCTTATAGATCTTATAGCTTTTAGAGGCACGAGATTGGTTAAAGATCTTTAAGAGGCTATAGTTTCATTCTACAAAGGCACAGATATTTTTTGCACTAGTGTAGCACAGAGCAGGCACAGTAGATCCACCAGGCTGGATGGAAACACAGCTGGCAGTTTTCACAGGATGCCGAAGCTGACGACACAGGATGCAGGCGCTACGTTGGCAAGTCTTTCTGGTGTTAGTTGGCAAGTGATGACACTTCTGCACACATTGCTCCTTTGTCAAGGTACTCATTGCTAGCAGGTGCAACTAAATAAATAAAAATAAAATAACTCACATAACAACTGCAGCAAAGTTTAAACATAACTTTCCAAAAAATAAATGAGCCAACTTGGCTCAAATGTACTTGTTGATTTGTGAAAATGTTAGTCCTGTGTTATCGGACAGCTAATTTTCTAGAAATAAACATTAAAATGATACGTTGAGTGTCTGACTGCTTGGGATGAAATTGACCTCAAGCACCCACAGGCCAGCTATGCTAAAGGATTTGTTGTTAGGGGATTAGTGTAGTGTGAGCATAGAGAGGTGACCTTTATACAGAGTTATGCATCCAACATGTACATTCTTGTAAATTCAGCTAAGATAACTCTGAGTTTAATACTTCAGCCATGGGCATATAACAAACCCATTTAAAATGTTGGGTTCAATGATGTTAAAACTGGGAAATTAGGATATTGCTTAATTCATGTATTTGATCTTTATCTGTCAGCAAAGTTTTATATCTGTGCTAAAAAATAAGAACTTACAAATATTAAAGACAATTATTCACAATTATATCAATGGGTGAGCTTTATTTATTCAGAACATGCTGGTCTTCAGATCTTAAAAGTTAAGCTCTTTTTTGACTGAAAAGGGGACAAAATGATGCGTAAATTAGCAAAAAATAGCTACTATTTTCATTTTCTATTTTGAATCAAACTCAGCTGTTATTTGGCAAAAAGAAGAAAGGTACATTTTTATTTAAACTCCTTTTAAATGATTATAAGAAGTTTGGAAGAGAACAGTTTGAACTGTTAAAAAAATCGGAAGTTTTAATAGACATCAATAGTACACATAAGTGTAATTTGAGAATTGATTATGCTGTAAAAAATAAATAGGAGCATATTGATTTTGGCTTGTTTAAGATCAAAGGAGGACGACATAAACTGTTTTCCTTTTCTACAAAAGAAAAACATGCTACAAGCTCTCTGATTAGAAGAGTAGTTTTGCATTTTCACAGACATCAAAACAAAAGATCTGGAAGAAGGTGGTGTCTGTTCCTTTCAACTAAAAAAATTGTTTCAGTTTATATTTTAATTCAACGGGAAAGAAAACATTTTCCATATTTTTGACTGTTTAAATCTCCCTTCAAAGCCAATCAAGAAAAAAACAGGCAGATCGCTGTGCATCACCACCTATGTTGGTTTATATTTTCAAAACCTTGAAAAATATCTCAATCCTTGATATTTTTGCAGCAGAACATGATACATGTTAACATGGGAGGAATTTTCCTTCACACTCACTTTTTCTTGATATAATGACACTCTCACTTTAACTTTCTGCCAGTCACTGCTGCCATCATCCGTGGACAGAGCGTCCAAAGGAAGGCTAAATGAAAATCCACGCTGATTCTTCTGTTATGTACAAACCTGCCACCACCTTTCAGTTTAATTTACTAAAATTCCACCATTAATGATTTTTCTTTAGTTAAACTCATTTTGCTGTTTGCATTAAAGTACAGTTCAACTCTCTGAACCATCTTAATTAGCTTAAGACAAGCAAAAAAATGCATACTTTTCTTTTTGCTCTCAATGGCCCCTGTTTGAACTTGAATGGCTCAGTTTTACGTTTATATATTTTCAGATGTACATTTACTTTAATGTATTATATAGTGCATATTAGGATGGTTACACCAGCTCTAAGAAACATGGCCCTGCAGAGAATAGTGAAGGGAGCTAAAATGATCTGCCCAGCACCCTTTTTCAGAGGCAAAAATTGCTAAATTCATGCCAGCTACATAAAGTTTTTAAACTGCTGACGTTAAATGGAATCACAACATCCAAACCAAAACACATAAACTGTTACAAGCTGTTACAATGAAGGCTTTTAAAGTATAAATCTTATTTTACATATATTGTCCTTTTTTAACAATTTGTTTTTGCTCTTATCCATTGCTTTCTTTATTTTTCAATAGATCCCAAAGTACCACTGTCTCGCTTTGTTCTGGCCTCCTTTATTGCCAGGCAATAACCCTAAATTAAACCTGTACTTCAACATGTGTGAAATCTCAATAGTATGTTTTTGAAACTGTCAGGTCTGCCCCAGCTGGAGCCCCTGCACCAGAGGGAGGGAATCAGCCCCCTCCCAATCTCACCAGCAACCGCCGTCTGCAGCAGACACAGGCACAGGTGGATGAGGTAAGTAAAGCATATGTTACTATCTCAAATATTTGTAAAACAAAGGTAGAAAAAAAAGCACTCAGATCAGTTTGACACCATTTTGACTCTTTATCATAATCTATTAGACTCATTTCCAGACTTGTGTCAATCCTTAACATCGAGTCATCCTGCTTTACCACGTGTCTTTCCTCAGGTGGTGGATATTATGCGTGTAAACGTGGACAAGGTTCTGGAGCGTGATCAGAAGCTGTCAGAGCTGGACGACAGGGCTGATGCCCTGCAGGCTGGAGCCTCTCAGTTTGAGACTAGCGCTGCAAAACTGAAGAATAAATACTGGTGGAAGAATGCCAAGGTGAGAACACAAGCTCATTCTGTTAGAAAGCAATATTAATGTCAGGGATTTTTTTTCTAACTTATATTTCTTTCCCTGGAAATTTGCTGACTGCAGATGATGATTATCCTGGGTGTGATATGTGTGATTGTCCTCATTGTCATTATTGGTAAGAAACCCTTTTTGGTCTTGTGTACACCTGTAAAAAATAATCCTTGTTTTTTAAATCTTGTAAAACTTTTTTCCACTCTATCTGTCTACAGTGTACTTCAGCACCTAAGCAGAGTCGCTCCTACCCCAGTCTGACCCAAGCTTCCCTACTACAGAAGAAAAAACCCTCTAATTGATGACAAAATTAACCACAGATTAATTGATTTATTGTATGTACGTATATCTCCCCCCAGCTAGCCTCGATATAACACCCCTCAACCCTTCAAGGCCCCATTCCCACCCATAGTTCCACAGCCTTGCCTCTGGATCCCAGTCCATATTCGTCCTGTGAGTGTGTGGCCCTTTCTTCTCTTGGTACTTCTGGCTCTTTCAACCTTAACATACTGGGAACTATACCCCCTGTGACGATGCAACAACGGAAACCTTAACAAAAATTGGCGATACTTGTTACAAAGCTGATATTTCTTTGTAGAGTTTTATTCTGATATATATCTGATATACTGTTTTGTAGGCGCGCGTGTGTGTGTTTGGGTGTGCTTTTTGTACTTTTTAATTTTTTTTGTATTTATTTGACGTATGCTTTAACGTTGACTACTGCCTATTAATGAAAGTGTGCGTCTTGCATGTTCTCATTGCCCCTTACTCCCCCCTGATTCTTCTTCTCGCTTTTTTGACGTACAATTAGCCTTCATAGTTAATTCCTACAAAAACCGCTCTAAATTTTTTTTCTCTTCTGGCGTTTTGCCACACTCATTACGGTCAGGAAGTCATGCATGATTTGTGCGAATAATCTTTATTCTTCCAACCTCATGAAACTTAGCTCCTTTTATCTGAGATGGATTCTTAAATATGACCATCCAAAGTGTCTTTTGGCGCCATCTTGTTTTCTCAGCATGCTTCCCTTGAACAACTTTAAACTGCCATAGTACGGACGGACCGATGTCTGTAGGTGATTCTTCTTTATTTATTTTTTTTATTTATTTAACAATTACGTAGTGTCTTATTTCGAAAACATTCCATCATTGCAGTCTAGTGCAGATGCTCTTACTGTGGCACATGGAAGTGCGAGTACCTTAAAAATACAAGCGATGAAGCGTGCGTCAGTAACAGTCATGCAAACAATAGGGGAAAGTCAGTATGCTGCTTAGGTGTAAGGATATATTTGTTGCATAGTCTGGATATAACATTAACTTTACACTTATACAAAAATGCATTCGGATGCATTGGTACGTAATGGGTAATTTTGGATTGGAAATGGATCAATCATTACGGGGATAGAATGGTTCTGTTGCTTGAACTGATTCCATAAAGCCAACGCTGCACTGGTCTGCCGTCTGCACACTGAAAAGCCTTGGTTCCCAGTCACTTTCAGTGAACTTTCAGTGCAGGGCACCCTTTGCACTCGTAGGAGAATTGGCTGACGGCGGTAAACTATTTAGAATTTGCACAAGCATCCTTGTTTTCGACGGTGCCGTCTGGCTGTTCAGCCTGGCCAAAGGGAACCCCGGTGCAGCAGAACTTCTCCACGTTAAGAGCACATTTGGAAAAAAAAAAAAAGTGGGACATTAAAATCGAAGAAACAATCTTCGAAAGAAGTAAATCAAAACAAAAAGAATCGTAGCATTCCTAGAACTAGTGTTTTGCTAGTGCTGTGGTTCTGTCTTAGTGTCTCTTCTTCTAGTTAAGGCCTTTTTTTTTCCTTTTTTTTTTAGATATAATAGATTCTATTTTTTATCATAGTATATTTTTGTGTGGAACAGAAGAAGTAAAGAGGACACAAAGTTCTAACAGCAAAGCTCCTCTTTACTTCTGTCTGCTGTGTTTTTGTAGTTCAGCTCTGCGTTACACACTGCCAAGCATTAAAGGAAAAAGACTTCTTTTCCTTATTGCGGTTATTTCTTTCATTTGTGCACTCACTGGTTTGGTGTTAGAGTATCTTCAAACCACTTTTTTAATCATTACTGTCATTGTTATGGTGGCACGTTTTTGTATGCATGATAGCTGATATTTGATTAGTAAAAGAGAGGGCAAATTTACAGCACCTAATTGTTTTTAACAACCTTCCAAAGCTGTGTCAAACTAAAGAGTTTGGCATGTGCTGTAGGGGGGATGTGTGAGAAATTTCTTAAAGCTACCAAAACCATTGATTATTAATGTGAAAATTTTTCCCAAAAAGAGAAGAATATTAATGCCTAAAATTTCTATTTGGCTGCAGTACAATGAAAACTCTTAAATTAATCTATTAAAATGTAGTTTTTAATGTTACCCTGTCTCTTTTACCCTTCTGCCAGCTACGTAGTGAATCTGCCCACCTTTCTTCACTCCTTCTTTGTATTTGTGTGAGTGTGAGTGTGTGCATGTTTGTGTTAGAATAGCTCCACTGACTTTGGCATGTCAGTTTTCCTTCACCTCTGAAGTACACACACAACAAGGCTGTAGATCTGTTAACCTTAATAGAAAACCCAGCATCCTGTTGCTCCTCAGAGAGGAGCAAACGTAAAACTACCAAAGACCAAATTTCCGTGCTAACGCTGCCTATACTCATCACAGACAAGCGGAAGGAAACAGGTTGCCTGAGCTATCCTGGTCAGATTCAAATAGCTTCTATCTTATTAGACTTTGTAGACAATTTATAGGGTCAAGTTTGACTCTTGAATGGGCGATCCTGAAATATGCAAGTTAAAAACGTTGAAAAGAAACTCCCCCTGCCATGTGGATCCACGTCCCTGGAGCTTCTTTCAATCTGTACAAAGTTAGTAGACACAGAACCTTGTAACTTATTATAGCACAAGTCTTCTCCCTTTTTTGTCTGCGTAGTGTTGCTGGGTTTTAAAATATGTAAACTACTTATCGATATCAGAAAACTGAGAAAAACAACCTGCATTGTTTAGTGGTGTAACATTGGGGGTTTTGGGGGGGAGGGGGTAATATATCCTCAGGTTTAAGTTGTTGCAATTTACCAAAATAAATATGGGGACAAAATATACACTTAACAAAGCTGTAAAATTGGATTCCTTTGGCAATATTAAGTGATTAAAGGGTTAAAAATGTTGTCCTTTTAGCCATTTGTACAGGACGTAACCACACAGCGGGCTCTGAGGTGAAATAACACTACTGATTGGGGTAGGACTTGTGTGTTTCCATAAATCCAACTGTTGTCCTGTGAGTGCTCAACCAGTTTGGTCACAATGGTGAAAATGAGTGAGTGCTCTCTCTATTTCTCTGTTTCCTGTTTGTTTTCTTTTTATTTATTTGCTTTATTGTCTGTGTGAAAACCAACACGTGCAAATTTTTTTTTTGTTTTGTTTTTTTAACAGCGCAGAACATTTTGTTTCGCTGTAATTCTCTTGTTTTGTCGGGATGGCGTAGTGGGAGAAAATGCGATCTCGCGTCTGTGCCAGGAACCCTTCAGTGACCTCAAGGCCACGTTCAGGTCGTTTGTCTAGAATGCATGCACGCTGACCAGAGAAAGAGCTGAACGCGGCAACAGGAGGGAACCTTTTGAGTCACTGAAAGTTTTCTGGGTGGATTTTTTTTTTTTTTGGAACCAAATATTCCTTTTTTTTTTACTTTTTCATTTGTTAGGTAATAACTCCAGATGTCACTGAATTGTTTGTTGTCAGCACTGATGGGTCAAGCTAAAGAAAATGGGAAGCTGATGTAAGAAGAAATATTTTTTGTGTGAAGGATTCTACAGTTCACATCAGATTGCTGTTCGTTTTGACAAGATATATTATTTTTGGTTTAAATCAACTCATCTGTAAGAGATGGTTTCTTTATTTGTTTTTCTCCTTTGAAAGCAGGATCACAGAGATGAAAGCATACATTGCCCCTGGCGACTGGCCTTTACAGGAGGGACAGGCCTGGAGGATCATGGGCAATGTGCTTATTGTGATTTTTTTTTTTCCTTTGTTCTTTAAGCTTTTATTTATTGATAGTTGTATCGTGCCGTCTTTTGGTTCGGGATTACAGTCTAAACATGGTCGATTAACACAAAAGGAGAGGAGACTGAGTGGGAAAAGTACATGAAATAATTGTAGTGTAAATCTATCAATGTCTTATTATATTGATGAACATCATGAAATATATGTATATTGGAAAAAACAGTATCTATGACAAATTGTACTTTTGTGTGTGATTCATGTGCTTTGTGGGTGTGAAGCAAGGAGATAATGTCATTTGGACTGCCATTCTGGGACCTGTGTGAATTAGGATAAATTTACTACCAATACAAAGATGGACCTTTTCTCTAATTGATCCCTATTATGTGTTAAGTGTGCCAAAACAAATACATGGAGACCTGGAGCCATAGACTACCCGTTTTTGCGTCCGTCCAGAGTCCTTGTGTATAGTGTGTTACCATCACACAACAGACAAACAAAAGACTGAGGACCATCCAGACACACAAATGGTTAAAAAGCACCAACTCCCCTCAAAGTCACCTATAATTTTACAAAACATATGAAGGATCATAATGTTCTGTTAACAAGCAAAACATCTATCATCACATAGGTCTATCAAATGAAAAACAAAATAAAAATAAAGACGAAATGTCTAAATCGAAGTTATTGTTACAATACAAACCTCAACATTGATTCTGCATTAAATTTAACCAAAGACAATCAGTGTGATTTATATGCCATATAATTTTGTATATTTAAACTGCAACAAAAAACACTAGATTTAACCAGTTTTGTACATATGGATTCCCCTCAGTATTTTAATCTGACAGCAACAGACACTTGCCCCAAATGAATTGCTTCAAGGTATAGTGGAGGATTTTCTTGAATTCTTGAAAATACCCGCGCTCTCTACTCTTAAAAAAATATTTATATGCATGCTTCCGAGAGGGAACACCTATTAAACACGTGTGAGAGCGTGCGCAAGCCCATTCCTCCTTGTGCACGCTCTGTTTAAAAGTTGCTGTTTGCATCGCTCATACAAGCTTACTTCCCAAAAGAAGATTTGCAATTTTTCCACTATGTCAGACTCACCACTGGTAAGTAAAAATGGAGATAAGCACGTAGGATGGCCTTAAGTAAATATATCAGAATGATTGACAATTAGGAGGACCACTTATTTTGATGATCCATCCGGAAAAAGAACATCCTCCACTATACCATATTCAGCCTTAATATGTTTTTCCTCTAAGGGTCAACATGGTAAAACTAGCTACCATAGTGATTCCTATAATCTATTTTCGATGGTATGTCCAAGCAGATGCAACAAGTGTTCAATAATTCATCTTTCTCCTGTTTTTCATGTCTAACATTTCTCTGAACTATCAAGGCTAAGGTTTTGATTAGATATATATATTTTTTATGGTTTGATTAAACATTTTTTAACAAAATTAATTAGAATCTTTATAATGCTTAATGAAAAGAGTTTTAACACAGATTTCCCCCCACCTCAGCAGCTTTATATGCACAGCATAGAAAGGAGGAAATGACATAGGCGAAAAGTCTAAAGTCATCTATGGATGTCTCTGTTAAAAGTGTTTACAGACCATTGGGGAAAACCCAAAAACATAATTATTCAAATGGCATAAAAATATCATTAAAATTGTATTTGTATATCTGTGCTACATGATTTGAGAAACACAGATAGTTGTAGTTATGGTTGTTGAACACTGTGCAATTACAAACCCACATTTTCCTTATCTCACTAAGCTTTTGCACATTTATATTACTCTTTGGACAATTTAGTATAAAGATAATTAAAAACTGCTTCAGTTTAGGGCATCAAGAGTATCTGGCCAAATGCATCATACTGATTGCTGACATAATCTGAGAGCATGGCAGTTTAAGTGTTAACATGTTAAGCAATAGTAGTTTGCATAGGCGGTCGGGTTAATATAAAGCAACGTTAGACGTTTGCTCAGATGGATAGTAGATAAGATTAAAAAATCATAAAACATAAGTTATCAGTTCTTAGCAGTCGTAAAAAACATCAGTAAGCTGCAGGAAGTATCTCAAACATGACTGTAATGATGGGCTCTTATTTTGAAATTGACGTTACGTAGCAGCAGAGAGGCTGACTTCCGGCTTTTCTTGCCTGGTTTATTTGATTCATTCCATTGTCGTATAAATATATAGATACTAGATGTACAGGTTTCAGTGAGGAGGTAGTGTATGGGATGGCTGCATAGTAACGCTACTGTCGTTGGAGTACAGAAGATTAAACCAACATTTTTATAACGAGTGAATCGAGCAGCTCAACAGCGTAAAAACAGCGTAAACTACGAGCGCATTCTTTAATAGGATGAAACCTGGAAACAGCAGATTTGTGGGAAGAAGAAAGTCAATGCTCAATTAGATGTAGTGTTAAATCTTCACCACAAGGTGTCGCCCTGAAACAAAAAATGACATGTACCATTAATTCAAAAAGAAGCGGAACGAGTTGGGATAAAAACTTGTTTAAAAAAAAAAAAATGATTCACCCCAGTCCTATCCATTCCCACACTGGCGTCTCACCTTAAGTATATGGCTGTCAGTCATCTAATAAAACATCTTTTAATTCATTTATTGATATATAGTTCCAATTCACAACATATGCCATCTCAAGTCACTTTACAGAGAGATTTCAACCAGATCATACAGTCCAACTGCTTCAAAGTTTTCTATCTAAGGAAAACCAGCTGATTGCATTGGCTCATTGACTCAAAAGCAATCCCTCACACCAAGCATGCATGTAGCGACAGTGGAGAGGTGCGCTCCCTTTGAACAGGAAGAACCCTCCAGCAGAACTGGGCTCAGTTTGACCATCTACAGCGGTCGATTGGGGGTCAAGGAGACAGACAGAGGCAGAGATACAAAAAGATAACTGTCACCTAGCTCAACAGATGGCCACATCCAGGAGTGGCACAACAAAGCAGAGAAGCCCTAAGCCAGTTCCATGTCAGAGGATGAAGAAAGCACATACAGTTTGTGACAGCAAGAGAAATGCACTACATTAATTAAAAAACAGGCCAAGCTCCAACCTCTTTAAACAAAGGTGTTGATTGTAGCAGCCCAACTGATGTTTCTCTCCAGGATAGTGTCACATCCACACAGGAACAGACCAGATGAAGCTACTACTGTATGATGAGAAAAAGCAGAAGAGAGCATAAAGTTAGAGGTTGAACTGGCAAATCCTCAAGAATGGGAGAATAGAGATAGAATAAAGCAAAATGGTGAAAAGTTGTCCCTATGTCCTCCAGCAGTCTAAGCCTATAGCAGCTTAACTTTAGAGGTGGCTCGGAATAATCTGAGGGAGTCTAACTAAAAGCTTTACAAAAAGGGAAGTTTTAAGCCTAGTTTTAAACTTTTCGCATAGAGTAAAATATTCAAAACTTATGCCTGTCATTTCTGGCTTTCAGATAATAAGATTAATTAAACCCAATATCTCAGAAAGGTTTAGAATAATTAGAAAAAAAGAGAAAAACTTTTTGGGAAACTCGTGATGTCACTTTCTACTCAGTTGCAATTTTTTTCCGAGGCTTTAAACTGACTCTTGTCCTGGATAAGTAGGCAACACAATCATGGGGAAGACTGCTGTCTTGACAGATTTCCAGAAGACAGTTAGCAATAGCTTGTACAGGGTGGGTAAGCCACAAAAGGTCATTCCTGAAGCATCTGATTATTAGATTATTAACATAGTTCTGCATTCAAGCATATTAACAGAAAGTCAAGTGGAAGAAAGAAGTCTGGTAGGATAAAGTGCACCAGCAACACAGAGAACCTCAGCCTTGAGTGGGTTGTTGAGGGATATCTACCCAGGATTTTGGTGACACTTCATAAATATTGGACTGAAGCTGGAATACAAGACATGGGGTAAAAAAATTACATAACTCATGTCAAGGCAGTTTGGAATGGCAAAAAAAAGGTCAGTGAAATATGCATTTTATTTGGGATCAAGCTTCTACAGTCTGGAGGAAGACCGGAGATGCAAATCTTTGCTTAAAGACAAGTGGGAAGATTCCATAGCAGGAGATGATTTGGAGTAGTATGTTATCAATTATGTAATCAAGTCCACATTGAACACACGTTTCCAAAGTCTGACATTTGTGCTGAAAACGTCCTTTTTAATGGTTTAATGCTACATTCGAGACACTGAATTTTTGGCTTTCTATACTATTAACCCATCATCTTTAAAATTTCAAGAAATAAAAGCATGGAGTACTTTGTTTTTAATAATTTTTTTATAAAATAACAGTTTCACTTTCTGAAATGAGTGAAAAATATATTACACTTTAACACAATATTACATTTTTTTAGACTGTTGGCCGAATTCAGCTTCTGTTTTTCCTGCTGTATCCTCAATTTTTAAGCATAATTCACCATTTTCAAGAAGGTTGAAATCACAGCCATCACAGAACTAATTTATATAGCTTCAGCTTTTTGTTCCAGAACTGATAAATATATATTTATTAATATATACAGTTTAACCTATATGTATAGTTTTGACCCTATACAAATCTGTGATAAATACAAATGTAAATGATAGCTCGGGTTTTATATTTATCATTATTCCACCATCATTAGAATCACAAAATGTACATGACATTCATGTTGTCATTGTTTTTATGAGCTTCTCTTCAAAACCTGACTTATGTGCTTCTGTTTTCATTTATTGGTAAGACGTTCCGCTCTGCAAAAAGATTTTTAATTGGATAATTTGTCTTTCTAAAATGTAGGGCGTGTAGAGAGAGAGAGAAAAAAAAACACAGTATGCTTTCTGCAGACTGTAATAAAATGACCAGCTTGGATCTCTTAACACATAATGTGAAGGCGAATTGCAATGGAAACAGTTGCTTGTTACAGAGACATGAACATGACCTCAGGCCGGGGTTCAGTCAAAAACAGCTTCTCTACTCGTTAATCTGTCTTTCTGTCAGATAGCTTTAGGCTTGTTTTCCATTTGTCTAAAACTAAGCCCTCTTTTCTCTCCACCCTTACCCATTTCTTCCCCACACTCATCTACTCCCCCACTGGCCTGAACTCTGACAACTATTTCTTTTTGACTTTTCAGAAGGAATGTGGGTCCAGCTTGGGGAGTTCATTACAGTTATTGCGGGAAACCTACAGTCTTGGCTCTGATCACTGCTCCCACACATCATGGCAGGGGCTGAGCCATTGTGTGTACACTTGGTGCCCCCCCCCCCCCCCCCCCCCCCCCCCCCCCCCCTAGCAAAACACACTCCTGCATTCCTACTCTTGCTGATTCCCATCAGGACTCCGGGTTAACACAAACACAGACGGACCAGGGAATTTTCATTTCTCCAGCTTTCCAATCGCCAGGAATTTGTATAGCATTTTTGTTGTAGCAGCTACTTTATTCTTTTTATTTAGCTTCATCCAGTTGGCTGTAGTGTTTGATAAAGGGTATGACAAGGACTGGCCTTTGCTATCCTTAAAATACTGTCTCTTACATAGGTCTCAGTAATGTAGGTCTGTTTCGGGAATTTAAAAGAAAGGAAAATATTCAACCCCTCTTTAGTGTTATTTTGGTTTTGTTGAATTGTGGGGGTAAGTAGATACTCGGCGGGAGCCAAAGGGACCCATGGAGCGGACTTTATTTGGGCCTTTGTTTGGGACATTGTGGGAGGAGATTTTTTTTTACCTAGATGACCACAGTTAATGACTTTATGGGGAAGTAGCTCCCTGTTTCCTATTTGAAATGTCTAACCTCCAGTCTGCTGTGGAATGCAAATATTTATGGACTACTTGTTAAATACCCACACACAGCCTCTGGCTCCATCTCCATCTTTGCTTCCCTTCTACTGATGGACTAGACTAGAATGAGTTAAGTGACCTTCTAAACTACTTTTCGACTATGATAACAGTTTAGGTATTAGTAGAACTATTCATTATTTACAGTAACTAGAGCCTCCTTCTTTCTTAGATGTCCGCTCCATAAACTGAACCCCAAGTTTTTCTAGAAACATCTGGCTTCTATTAAACGGTTCTCCTCCCTTTGCTGCTGACGCCATCCCCCCCTCATTGCTCTTTCTCCATAGGCTCCTTCCAAGATCTTTGCTCATATCTCTATCCATTCTTGAACACCCCCTCCACCAAACTCTTTCTGATCCCTAACCACTCATTGATTCTCTCCGCCTACCCTAACCGAACCCTCCTTCTCCCTCCGCCCTACTGTCCTCACCTCCTGTGTCCTGCTCCCCTTTTCTCTTTGCTGCAACAGTCTGCATTGCTTCCTTTGCAAGATTTGTATCATCATGCGCTCGGACTGCATGTGGGGGTTACTTTTGTTCCTGGCCCTTAGTTTGGGACAGACAAAGGCTCAGGACACCAATTTCACCAGGTAAAGTAGACTTTGAAAGGAGTTGCATTTATATTTATTTGTAAGACTGCAAGCAATAGAGATTTTCAATGGAACAAATGTAAGAAAATCTTGAACTTTTGGTTTCAATATATATTCCTCTCTGGTTTTCAGATGGGTTATATGATGCTACCAAAGATGAGAATCCTTATGTCTCAAATAAACGTGGCACATGCTGTGGAAAATTTTGCTGTATGCAGCCGCCATTGAACTTTACTGGGGGTCTAGAGTCTGAGTCCTTAAGACAGCCAAGTATGTGATGGCTTCATCTGTAAAGAAATAATCTCTTGGTGTGGTTTTGATTCCTGTAAGTGATGACAGATGAAACAATGGAACATTTTATCCTGCAATATGAAATCCTACCTGCAATTACCTCTGACAGGGTCTGAAATGCAGCTATGTAATTAAAGCATCACTAGATGCTGTCAGTTAGCTGTAAAATCCATTTTAAACTAGATGTCCATTATTCCTGTATTTACTCTTTCTAAAGACTGTTAGATTCCCAATTTTAGTGACTGCCATTATGGGTATTCTTTAATGCCACCATCTTTACCATCTAAAATACACATATACATAAATCTCGCTCTTGCTTTGATTACAGCCCATCATTGCAACCACATTTATTTTCACCAAGAGTAAACAATAAAAGTAATTAATGAAGTAAATGATAAACTTTAATAATGCTTCTGCCCACATAAAGGGAGTATTGGACCATTAAATCATCCCCCTCTCAGCCCAAAGATTTTCAGTGGAGCTTGGGCATCAAACAGCACAATGAAGACCAACACACTAGCAACAAATCAGGGATAAAGATCAAAACAGGGATATGATATAAAACCATCAAAGATAGTTTGCAAAGCATCATGCTTTTAGAAGAAACATAGAAGTTGGTTTGAACTGATTGGAAGGCAAGTGACGCTAAACACAGATAAATGCTGATATAAAAAGACTTAAAACTGTTATTAAGGGTTTTGTCTTTGCAACAAAGACTACTATCACATCAAAGCAGGTTCATGTACTAGATCGGCCTAGTCAAAGTCCAAACCTAAACCTATCTATCCAATCTAAAGGGGCCCAAGCGGCTGTTGGAAAAATGTCTTTGGATGTGCAAAGCTGGTAAAACCTCTTTTGTTATTGTCCCCACAGCTTAACAATAAATGACCTTGTGTTGGAGAGTTTCATATCATCCTTTAAAAAATAAATCAAATATGCTTTTATAGAAAATATATAACAGGTATTGTATAGGGTTGATATCTAATGGATTCCTGAATCACTTTTTCAGTCCTGCAGCCCACCTCTTGTTTTGACAGCCTAACATTTGGGAAACCTTGACCTCCCTCATAGAGCGATCCCAGATCTCTACACTGGCCTCACAGACATGCACAGTGGGCGTTGAGCAGGTTGGGGGTCATCACTACATCCCTTCAGAGGATACATCTGGACACTGCAGATCTACTGACCTTTATCTCCAGAGACCAGATATTTTTGTTTCTAGCAGGTTGATGTCTAAATAAACAGCTTCCCTTTAAAAAGAGTAGTAAATATTATAAAATAAGTAAAATGTGAACATTATTAAAAAGATTTTTAAATTTGTTTTTTTCCAAATGTAATTTCTCTTTAGAAATTTTTGCTACAGATTCAAATTCACTAAAATCTGTTCCACTGGAATGCTGTGAGTAATACCCCCTTGAAGGCTGAAGCCCAAAAGCCAAAATTCAAATCCAGACGTGTTTAGACTTCACTCTTGTCATTCCTCTTTGCCCTTTTTCCTCCCTTTGGTTGTCCCTGACAAGACAAAAGATAAGTAATCTAAACTCTTGGAGAATGATTAGTAACTTGCTTATTTTACTTATACTAAAAAAAAAAATCCCTAAACATCAAGTAAAACATTTTATGTGGAAGCTTAACTATTAGCTTTTGCAAAATATACCAAAAAATGTTATCCTGATGCCAGGATTCATGTCAGAATGTCATAGAGTATGTCTCTGTTTTTAAAGTCGAAAGAGATCAAAATCACAGAAAACAGAAGAAAATAAAGAGCATAGCAAAAATAATGAACTCCACCAAGAAGAACGTGCACTAATTACTTTGTTGTTTTCAGAATAATAAAATGTGTTTATGATTAGAGTTGTAACATTCTCCTTATTAATCAGGTTTGCAGACTAGATCCCATGTTTACCATTTTCTTTTTACTGTAATTTTCACAATAACATATCAACTGACTCTTTTCAGGCCTTTTTTTAATATATACTTCATTGGGTTTTTTTTGTTTGTTTTGTTTGTTTTTTGATTATTTTTATTACGATTCTGAACTTTTTGAAACCATCTTTATTTTCAGTCACAACAACCAGTTTTTAGGGTAGGATTATATCAGCTTTAGAATTTTAGAAACTGATGCTGTTGCCCATTGCATTTTAGCCAGGTATTGGATTACATGGACAAAGTCTATGAAGAATGGTGTTGGTGGTGTTTGAGGTTTTATACAGTAGCCCATAGAAAACCTTGTTTTTGTTTCGAAAACATGTATGTTTTTGAAAGCTGAAACGTGAGTTCACCGCCTCTTTTCCATTCCAAACAATCCAGTGGATTGTTTGGAATGATTATGACCTGGATGACTGAGAATCTTCACCAGTTTTTGCTGCAGAATTTTTCTTTGACGTTGGTCTGGACTTTGACTGGGCCATCATATAAAATGATTCACCTTTGGTCTCAACCATTCCACTGTAGCTCTGTCTGCAGGTTTGAAGTCGTTTTCCAGCTGGAATTTGAACATTTGCTCCAAATATGGTGCAGCTGCTTACAGGTTTTCATCTTTCGATTAGCAATGATCTTCCTTCCCCTGGTAAATAAAACCAACATGATAGCATTATACTCACAACTAAGCTTCTCCACCACTACCTGTGCCCTATCTGATGACCTCAGTTATCATGATGGTGTTGTTTTTTTATTGTACGGTCTCTAATTTAAACTCTAGGCAATTTGATGCACTGGATTTTACACATTATGAAAGTAAGAGGGGCTAAAACTATTTCCCCACCACACTTGTCGGATTTTGCTTCTTTTCTTCATTAAACATGTTTCTGACCTCTATCCTATAGGCCTGTGTTCTACTGTGGAGGAGACCTGGTTGCTGAATCAGGTTTTGTTGGCAGCGAGGGGTTCCCCGAATTCTACAAACCGAACACCAAATGCACCTGGCGTATATCTGTGAGTGATAATCCAAATAGTTATTAGTTACTAAGTCCGCTAACTCACAACGTTTCCTCTGGTTTCCAGGTTCCAGAGGGTAACGTTGTCACACTCTCCTTCCGCATCTTTGACCTGGAGGCTGAGTCACAGTGTCGCTACGACTATCTTGATATTTACAATGGACAATCCAACTTGGTACAAAAACTGGGTCGTTTCTGCGGAACTTTCCGACCCGGCACTCAGATATCAACCACAAACACCATGACGCTGGAGATGGTGACAGATGGAGAGACCCAGAGCAGAGGGTTTCTGGCCTATTTCAGCGGAACAAAGCCTTATGGAAATGGTATGTGGTTACACTTCAGGAGAGTTAAGGAGTGATATTTTTCTACTCAGGTTTGAGTTCGAAAATCTTCATGATGGATATTGCCTTTAAAGAAAATAAAGTAAGGATGGAAAAATAACAAAAAGCATGCTAAGATAAACTTGACATAAACTGGAGAAGGAGAACACAATACGTCAGGGATATGTTTGTCAGGCAGAAAAAAAGATTAAAGTAAATTTAAATATGATCTATAGCTTCAACAGTTAGCTGGGTTATGAAGGTTATATGGCGCAAGAGGAGTTTTTCTTTCTCGTCAAACAGAGGTAGACGTTTTAGCTTGTCAGAAACTACACATCCAAGTAGTCTGATTACATTATTAGCACCAAATGGCATTAAAGGTGTAGTTTTCTTTCACTATTTTGATTGTTGGGATCCTTAAAAATTCACATCATGTTTTGTGTTTTCTCTGATGTAGTGTTTTGCGGCGTTCATGTCCTCTCGGATAAGGACTAGGAGGTGTGTGTTAAATTATTGTCTTTTTTAAATTCAAGGATCACCTGACCATCTGGGGATTTATCTTTAATGGTTTGCGCACAGAATATGAGTGCCCCCTGGTGGTTACACAGTTTTTCCCTTAAAAGGTGGAACTAATGTCAGTTTAGGTCACTTTAGGCATTCTCCTTTTTCAGGAAGGGGAAGAAAGATAGCTGCAAAGTTAATTAGTGCTTCCTTAAATTTTTTAGCATTATAAAAGTGGTTTAAATGTGTCGGATAAATCCATCAATCCATTTTCTATCCCTGCTATATATGCAATTACAGGATGGCTGGCGCCTATATCTAGCAGACAAAGGATAACAAGCAGGGAACCTAAAATAATTGTTTAGTTGCAGATCTCGTTCTCTAATCTACTGTGTTAGATGCATTTTAAAAAAGGTAACGATCTTCCAATTCCCCAAAAGCAAAGGGCAGATAAAGAGATAAAGATCATCTCCTGTCTAATAAAGAGCAGGGAATTAATTGGTGAAAATGAAATGCACATGACTCTAATTCTGCAGTATCTTTTAAGTTTATGAAATGTTATGCAAACATGCCTTCCTGTCGTATCATTGTTTTTTTCTGTGACAAATCTGCACACAATAATTACAAGAGAATCAAAAGTTTAGGGAGCTTTGGCTTCACAAGGATTTAAAAATTTATAATAGAGGAAAGTAAGAAGTAATGACACTAATTACAATTCATAAAAAAAGTTTACTCTGAAAAACCAAGATAATTACGTAAAATTAAAGTCAGGTTAAAAGGTAAAGGCTTAGGTATCCTGTAAGAACGCCCTTTCTTTCTAACAATAATCAGCTTCTCCTATCATAGACTCACAGACACTGTAGGCTTTATAACACTACTTTTAAGAAGTATAAAAAATTTTCTTTAGCTTCACGTTGTCATATTAAGGTTTCGGAGAACTTTATATGGAGAACACATAAAAAATATCAAATATAGACGCAGGGGAAAACAAAAATAAAGGGAGAATATGACCCTGAAATCAGAAAAAAAATAATAGAATGAATTTAACAACAGTCAGTTTAAGTACAATAAAATTACACACTTTTTGATTTTGTTATATGTTTATTTTCTTTAGAAGAAAACATCTCTTAACTTAAACTGAAAATAATTGGAACTTTTCCTTCCTTCCTTCCTTCCTTCCTTCCTTCCTTCCTTCCTTCCTTCCTTCCTTCCTTCCTTCCTTCCTTCCTTCCTTCCTTCCTTCCTTCCTTCCTTCCTTCCTTCCTTCCTTCCTTCCTTCCTATAATCCATCCATCCATCCATCCATCCAGTTATATTCTGGCGAGGTTATCAGTTACTGGAACTTTTTAAAATTTCAAATCCAAGAATGAGTTTACAATAAAAAAACAAAACAAAGCTTTGTTTTAGAATAAGACAATGCAGCCTAAAATTAACTTTTTAATCTTTTTAATTCTGGTTTTCCTTAGATAGAAAACTTTATGTGGACTCTAAGATGTGGTTGAATTGTCTCTGTAAAATGCCTTGAGATGACGTATGTTGTGAATAGGTGCTATATAAATAAACTGATTTGAATTGAACTTTAAGATGCATAAACAACTGACTTTAAAGTTTGGTCAACTAAAGCACCATTAAATAAAAGACAGCACAGTAATTCCTAAAAAAAGAATCATCTTTTAACCTTCACAGTCTGGTTTGAGCAGAAGACCAGCGATCAAATGGTTATCTAAGTCCCCTTTTTGTTTAGCAAGTGTAATTTTAATCAACACATTTTATACAGTCAGCCTGGTTCCACGCCTAAATTTTAACACATCACTGAGCAAATTTTGCTGTTTCTCATCATCAGTGCACTATTCATTGTTTTCAGATGAACAATTCTGTGGGGGAAAGATGACAAAATCCCAGGGAGAGATCAAGACGCCTAACTGGCCTGACAAGAAGTACCCACCAGGAACCAGCTGCTCCTGGCTCATCACTGTGGAACCTAACAGGGTTTGAGTTTCTGCTTCACACTGACTAATCTTTAAAATCCAAAGCTTTTATGTGGACCTGAGCAAAATTAAGAAATCTTCTATTATATTTGAGAATTTCCCATCTTAACAGATGGAATGCTGTTGAGATGGATAGCATTTAAATCCCAGATTAAAAAGCGTTGAATACAGCATACATGTTTTTTGAAAAAAAAGTTAGTTCTTTGGCAGGGGCACCTAAGCATGGGGTCAGTTCTTAATGTAAAAAAATTGACTGAATTTATTTTATGCTTTTCTTGTCGTATTGATAATCAATGTGCTCACTTCACAGATTCTGAGATTTCCTCTTGCTAGAAGATAACTCCTCCATTCAGCCATGTTGAAAGCTTGTTTATGTTGTTTGTGGTTACCAGGTGATCCAGGTGAAGTTTGACAAATTTGTCCTGGAGGCTGACACCTATTGTCGCTTTGACTATGTTGCCTTCTTTAACGGAGGAGAGAGAGATGATTCTCGCCTAATTGGAAAATACTGCGGTGATCAGACCCCTCAGTAAGAAAGCATAATTTAAAGTCTGCTCTAAGTGTTATTAAAGTTTATTCTTAATCTTTGCTCTTCTTCCTGTTCAGGCCCATTATCACCAGTGGCAACGAACTGCTGGTTCAGTTTGTGTCTGACCTCAGTGTCACATCTGATGGATTCTTTGGCTACTATAGCAGCATCCCCCGTGGTTCTCAACCCATGACTGTCGACTCAGGACCCAGTACAGGAGCCTCGGCGGGGCGAGTCAGACCTGCTGAAAAAGAAAAACCCGCTACAACCACGACGCAGCCACCCGCCCCAACCACCACAACAACTCCTCCAACAAAAAAACCTACACGAAATCGAAATAATAAGAACGGAGGTGGGAGAAGACTTGAGTTGACATTTTAGAAGATTCCAATTTTAGATCCAATTCACTCGTTACGTGTTCTTCACATTTCTAGGTCGTCCAAACCCACTTTGTGCCAGAGCCTGTAAAAGAGATGGAACCATTAAGACCAGTTTCTGCTCTAGTGAATTTGGTATGTATGTCTTCTAACCACTACCCTTTACAGTTTTTGGCATTTCTGGTGAAGATGTATGTATGACCTTTTAACAAAAGATTTCAAAAAACAATGAATGCATTTATCATAATAGTGGACCTCTTCAGGAACTTTACATTTCTTAACCATGACTTTTTGATTCTCACCTGTCTCATATATAAAATCTTTGAAGCACACTAGTACAAAACTTCAGCAAAGACTAGCAGCTTGCAGTCGCCAAGTTTGCATAACAACAATTAGACTCTTTATAAATGTCATCTGATTGTTTAGATTTCTGCTAAATGCTACCAATACTTTAACTTTAATTCTGTGGTTTGATTAAATCACACATAGATTGAGCTTTTCAACAACCAGTAGCTGGTGTAGTTTTCTGTCAAAGGGAAATGGACACAAACCATTTTGCCCAGTGTAAATCTTGTAAGGAAAAATAGCATGTCGGTGTATCATTTAAGTTTCTCTGAGCAGTTGAAATTTACAAAGCCATTACGATGGATTTTATCTGCATAAGGAAAAACTTATTTCTGATTTCACCTCTTTAGATTAATTCAATCTAAATTTGCTTCGGGGCAACACTTGGTGGGGGGCTAATATGATATTTCTGTCACTCAGATATCTAGAATTGCAACTTTGACAATCATAATTTTATTATGATGTGATGTGAAAGACCCTTCACATGTTAAACCTGTAAAATCATTGGAGATCCCTTAAAAATGTTGTTGATTGAAAAATCTATTTCAAAATGGCTTCCTACTAGCAGATTGTATAGATTTTAAACTTACTGTATGTTCTTTATGTACTGTAGTTGTTACTAGTAAAAATATGTATCTTTTTTAGATACCTAGAACTTAATTACAGATAATTATCAAAATGGGTTGCTTTAAGAGGAATATTGTCCTCATAAAAAAGAGACAGTTAAGTTAATAAATCTTAAGTTCCATTCTTGCTCTCAGGAGGAAGGGCTTTAACATGTTTAGAAGCACGTTTATATTTCCCCAACATTTGAAAGAACTTTCAAAAGTTGGGGAAAAATAATTTGAAAGTTATCATCATAACAGTATTTGTGTGAACCTAAAGTATTGAGGGCCCCAATAATTGTCCAACCGTAGATGTCTGTTTTTGAAAGTGGAAAAAACAGAAAACAATTAAGGTTTCATTTATTTATATATAAATCTTCAATATGAGGTCCTACTACTTTAAGGATAAACTCCAGGTGTTTTATTTGCATTCTCTCCAATTAGTGTAAAGAGCACAGTAGTTTGAACTGAGATGGTGTCTTTAATTGAGCACTTCTTTGTTTTTCAGTGATAACTGGGAAGGTTAACTCTGTGTCTCCTGGACCACGAGGCACGGTTTCAATTAACGTCTCCCTAATTAAGACCTACAAATCAGGACGCCTGACCATCACACAGGTTGGAGAGACCATGGCAGTGAAGCTTGTGTCACAGTGCAAGAGGTGTCCTTTGATCAGTCGAGGTAATACCTGGTTGAATTGATAAAAACAAATATCCAAATAATATCTGCATTAAATTAAGAGAACATGTATCCATTCCCTTCCCTCTTATGTTAGGTGGCAACTACATCATAATGGGTCAGGTGGATGAAGCTGGACGTGGCACTTTGGTACCTGGTGCATTCACTGCTCAATACAAAGCTGCGCACCACAGACTGTTGGTGAACATCAGCAAACAACCATGTTAAAACCCGTACTGCTGTCCTGGTCTGGAAATTAAATCTACAATCTCAATAAAATAAGAACTCTTCAAAGTGCACTATAGATATATATACAAAGACACAATTATTTTATATACATCTTTGAACAAACATTATTTTATCAATCAACAACTGGAGTTTTCATTTGTTGTGTATATATATGAATAAAGGTTTTATACAACTTTTCAAACATCTGAGTACTAAAGTAATTTCTTGTTAAGGTCTTTACTTTGTCTCCACGGTGTGGACATAAAAGGAAATGCACCTATTTTGTCCTAATTAATGGCTAAAACGTTAAGTATAATTGTGCAAAAAATGATGAGAAGCAAAACTGTTAAAATAATAGGCCTCGTGGAACTCATAACCTCATATATAAATCCTATTAATGCTGTGAAATTAGCTTTGACCATGCATGAAAAGAGACATACATTAGATTAAAGAGGATAAAGCAAATTTGCTAGATGATAAACTGCTAGATGTAATACAGATGAATAGAATAAAACTCTGTCTATAGAGATTTTTCCACAGCCTATATGCTCCCATATAACTCAGTAATATGCTTTCATGGACTTAAAAAATAAGAAAGTGGATTGATTCCAAAAATCCTGTTTTACTGCTCTGGTTAAGTGTTTGAAATTCAACAGTTTCCTCCTTTAGAAAACAAACATCTCAATAGTGCATTAGAAGATCAGTGGCTTTATGTTGATAAACCCCATTCTGTGGAGGTAACCAATGTCTTCTAAAAGGATAAAGTTCAATTCCTAGGAGGGGAAATGTGGGATTCTGTTGCAGAATCTCGAATTCACCATCTTTCTGCATTAAGAAAAAAAAAAAAAACTACCTCAAAAGATTAGAAGCTTTTCAGGTGAGGTACATGCTACTTCAGATTATCACATTGCCTCAACTACGGTAACAGTTATTTGACCTTAGCAGACATGTAATGGAAAGCTTTTGAAAGGGCACAACCTACAGTATGTACTAAATTCTGCTACTAAACCGCAAATGTATTTTTCTCAACAAGCACGGTTCTACATTTTGGTAAATAAGCAGGCTTTTCAGTGCTATCAGATTTATTGCTAAGTATGTCGAATGAAAACATTAAGAAAGAAACGACACAAAAATTTCAAGCAAATTTCAGGTTAAGAAGTTGAGCAAAAAAAAAAAATTACCATAATTTTTACATTTTACCGATCAGATTCTTTTTACTAAACTGCATGGTATATAAATGTAAACATATTATGTTTATGGCTAGTCAGGGTAAATACAATATGTTAATAAATGTATTGTAGCTGTCATTCTGTTCAATCCGTGCCTCTGCTCAAAATAACTTAAACAGATCACAGAACTGTATCAGAGCCCCAGGATATCTAAAGAACTACTTTGGAAAAGAGGTGCTTTTTTCTAACTAAAGATTCAATCTTTAAGTGTAGTTTTGATTACTTTTGTCTACAGTATATAGCTTTTTGAAGGAATTTCATGTATTTTCTTTTACTTACCTCTGTTTTAAATTTTTGGCAAAGATACTCAGCTACTCAGGTTTGTCGTCCAGTTATACATCCATTTAATAAAACCGCATTCAGTATATTTTCTGGCATTGTATATTTTCTTGTAATATGTATATATATATATATATATATATATATATATATATATATATATATATATATATATATATATATATATATATATATAATTTAAATTTAAATTTTTTTCAGATTATTAACATTTAAATACATTTTTTGTCACCCCACACCACATATGTGCCTCTGCAAGTCCCTCCTGGTCTTTAGCAGATCATGTAGTCTAATACCTTTTCTCTGGATTTGAAAACAGTATCTTTTTTTCTAAGAATCATTTCCTTGTGGTTAGTAATAAAAATTATTTTATTTCTGTGTGGGATAAAAAAAATAATAAAAAAAAACAAACAAAAAAACAATGCCTGGCAAAAGTATCCACATCCTTTCATCTTTGGTATATACATCTTTTTGTTTTACTTTTTCCCATGTTGCAACCACAAAAGTCAATGCTGTAATATGTTGTGCCAGGCATACATAAAGAAATAATAGCTCCTGTCAATGTTATTATTAGTAGTATAATTACTATTTCTTTACACATAAACCACATGAAAAATGACAAAATAATGGTTATAGATACAATGAAAGTATAAATCAAGGTAAAACCTTGGAGGGCTATGGTAACTCTGGTATAAATCCACTATACGGGTGGGGAAATGTTACTACAGAAAGCAAATATATAAAAAAGGATGGTCAGGTAGGATGAGAAGAAAAAAAAACGGAGCCTCCTGGCCAATGTACAAAACCAAACGTTTAGTAGGATAAACTAGAATTGCACATCCCCTGGTACACACCATATCCAATGTAAAAATATGGCAGTGGCAACAGCATATAGCTATAGGAGGACTTTCTTCTGTAACAGTATTACCTAGAAAAGATAAATACGAGTGTTAGTAAATTTTAAACTAATAAACAGAAATTTGTGGTTGTGCCTTGAGCAAATACCAAAATGAAATAAAAAAATAAGTAGTAAATAAAATATTTCTATAGTTCCTAATCTGTAGGTAGAATATGAATATGAATTTTGTTACTGATATTTAACACTCCAAAAGTCAATTTTTTGTGCTTCTTTCCTTTATGTTCATTAATTGTAGTTACTTTTAATGCAGTTGGATGAGAACAGTTTACAAATAACTATTCAATTTTTTTGTGTTATTCTTACTCTTTTCTTAACCTACAGTAAATACTTTAAACTGTTAATTGGTTTGATGTCCTGTCAAACCTATAACCTAACCCTGTTGGGTTAAAATAAACACAGGACGGGACTGATCTATGGTTAGCAAATAATCCAAATTATGTTTTGATCAAGCAGTTTTGTGAAATCAGTAAAAAGCATGCTGTATTTTATCTGTAAGATTTTGCTTGAATTCAAGCTCGTCAACTCGTAAACTGTTTGCATTAACGTAATGCCTAGACATTGTATAAAACTCAGTGCAGATAAATGTTGATTTTATTGTAAAACAGTAGTAAAATTCTTTCCATAAACAGTCTACCAAAGCAACGCTGCAAATACAAAAAAAAAAAAAACCTCTCACTCAACAATAACAAAGTATCAATATAAAAGATGAGATATTTGGGGTTTTCAATTACGCTTTCTCTCAGAATAACATCACTGATCTTTCTGCATCCCCTAAACCCAAACGCTGCCCTTCCTATCACTTTCTTTCCCTTCATTTTGGCCACAGCAGCTTCCAGCACTGGGCCCCCGCTGGCGTGAGGTGGGCAGGTTCTTGTAGACGGCTCGGCTGTAGGGGATGAAGCACATGCCGAGCTGAAGGTGCCGAGCCAGGCGGCAGTAGGCGGCAAGCGCCAGCACCAGCAGAGGTGTCAACAGCAGAAAGCCAACAACCAGCAGAGCCACACAGCTGGTGTCGTCCAGCAGGTCTGAGCAGTACAAAGATGTTCCATGGGGCTGCACCTGGAGACGAGATATGATATGTAGGTAAAGGTGTAGGAGCAACAAATGCATCCCTCACTCTGTCAACACACTATGCAAGCGAATCCACTGGAATTCTCGCTTTGGCTTTAGCTTATTTTATTTAGCTGACAATCCGCTGTGCAAAGAAACATGAGCTGCATGTTAGAGCCCCAAAACAGCTGAAGTTAAGCTCCAGAAGGTTCTGGTGTGATTTGAGAAAACAGTGTCAAATCCCTGCAAAAACACCCCCCGATACTTTCTATCTGCTTTGCATCTGGCAACATCATTTTAAGACAATTCTGACGTGTTATTGCACATTTATACTTTAAAGTCTTACTGTGGAATGGCAGAGAAAGCCAAATATGATCATGGCCAGAGCAGGAGTTAGGATGACGCCAAAGATGACACTGGCCAGTGTGCCGTTGATGAGAGCGATGATGAGATTCTGTACAGTCACCAGCACAGAGCAGGCCCAGCAGTCTAGAGAACCCCTAAGCTCCAGGGGGCCGTCTGCAGCTTCACTGCCACCCAGAGAGTAAGGAGGCGGCACCACGACCCCTGACCCCGCTCTGGAAAAGGAGCGAGCTTCAGAATGGCCGTGATCAGACACCGTCTTCTCCAGCGTCCCATTCCGTGACAGACTCATTGTCTTGGATGCGTATCCTGCAGGAAAAACTAACAGCGTCACTCCAGTTCAGTTGAAATAACTGTAACATGAAGTGTGTATTATTTTTTTTATTTTTGCTTTTTGAAACAAGTTTTTTTAGATTACACTATCTTGCAAAAGTATACATTTTCATCCCCTCTGTATTTCATAAAACGATAAAAAAAAACAAAAAACATCCTCACTGCTTGATGCTTAAACCACAGTTTCATTTGGAGATGCTGCTTTTAGGTTGATATGTAGGGTTAGCTTTATACAACACACAGCATTTTGTAGGTAAGCCAAAAAGTTTAGTACAAATTTCAACTGAAGAGAGCATCTTCTTCCAGATAAGTGTCAGGGTTCTGCCCCCTGTTCAGTTTTATTTTTAGTTTCTTTTTAATTATGTTTTTTTCTAGTTATTTTCTGGCAGTGTTGTATTATTGTGTTACTCTCTGTTGCCCCGTTTTGCCTGCTTCCTTTCCCCTCGGCTCCCTTCTACTGTAGTTAGTTCTATTCACACTTGCTCCATATCAGCTCATTAGGCCATTCTTTGTTCTGTTCCCTATATATACACCACCTGTGCAGTTTCTCATTGAAGGTTTCTTGTTGTTTTCTTGTTTGCTGATTTTTTGGTTTTAAGTATTTTTTTGTTTTTTGTTTTTGGACTTTGCTTCAGTTACCTGTGGGATTCTTAAATAAATCAGCAAACTCATCTCTTCATCTCTGCATTTGGGCACTCAAAAACCTCCACCAATCCCTGACAATAAGTGGGTCTCATGTCCAGTTATAGTGGACTACTGTCCTACAGCAAAGTCAGACTTTAATAGGATGCTGAGAGGATAATTCAGCAATTTGATCCAGATGCATTTGATCAGGGATGCAGCTGAAGTTGCAGCATGAATACTTGGCCATTAGGGGCCTGCAAGGTTTCCTCCCGTGTTTACCCAATACATCTCAATAAACAATCTTTTCCATTTTCTTTTGATCAAAAAGACTTCTCTGCCCTGTAATGTTGCAGTTTCCTACAACCACGGATTACAGAGAGCCCTGATGAAAGGCTGAGCCATTAAGTTATAGTTTCTTAAATAGTGTGATGAAATGTGTGGAAAGTCAACACCGATTAATGCACGGCGCTTCGTGTGGAGGAAATAGGCTTCATTGACTCCACCCTCCCCAAACTTCAGGATAACCACCACCCAGAACAATGAGCCACAAGCAACAATAACAGAACATACCGCTAATAATAAGAAATGTGATAATGTTCTATTTTTATGTATATCTGTGTTCAGATACTGTTTCCACCCATTTTCTGTCTCACAAAAATAGATATAAAAGAAAAAAGGAATAATTTAATCTGATTGATAAGGCATTTAAGACTTGTATTTAAATGAATACTTTTGATTTCTTCCTGTAATTTAGATGTAAATCAATTATCCTTATTATTATAAATACTATCTTTATTTTTCTTTCATTAACTTTACTGTATTGCTTTTAGATATTGCTGCCCATCTTCAAAGTTTACCTCAGACTACTAAAATGAATAAATATACTTTTGCTGATGCGTTGTTGTGATTATTAGTTAAATCTGCTTTATCTCCAGAGAAATCTCATAATGAACAAATGATCACATTCTTTCTGTACTTACCGTATGGCAACCCAGACACCCCAAGCTCCTGCAGTTGGACGCGACAGCAGACGTGGAGAATTTCAAGAATTTCCTCCTGATTTATACCCTCTCTCTGCAGATCTTGAATCTGTTCACTTCCACTCCTCTTTTAAGTCCTTAACCTGTTTCTTTCTTGTTCTACCTAAACTAATGTTAGCCTATAGTTAAAAAAAGAAAACATTCAAATCTACCTCAGACCAGTTACAGGACTAAGAAGAAAGCTCTGAATAGTGGGAGCAAAGTGTGCTTTCCCATCAGCTTCTGCGCTTCCTTCCCTGACATGCTGTTTCCTCACTGACTCTGGTTGAACATACGATATGAGTCGTGGAGTCTGTATCCTGTGTTGCCTTAAATGCGAATGCAGTGTGAGAGCAGGCTGGGCTGTGTTAAAAGCAGCATTGGGAGCTTAGGTGGGGTGGGGGTAGGGGGTCTGTGATAACCCCTGGAACCAGGGAGGGAGTAAAGTGTTTATTTGGATAGATTAGAGAAGTCAGAGTAAGCTGCCCAACACATGAAACTTTACACTCTCCCTGAGCACTTTCTCCTTCCCTCTGTCAGTTACTGATAAGGCTGCTGTGGGAACAATTTGGGAGAGTTCTTATTTTACTTTTCATGCAAAAGCTGAAGCTTTTTCTTAGTTAATTTGCAGTGGAAGATTCAGGCATGATCAAAGGCTTTACAATGACATTGCACTCTGCAAAGAGAAAGGTAGAGGCCATGCCACACTGGCTTAAGATGCAGGCACAACAGAATTTTTGGCCCCTGACATTATGATGAAAAACAGATCTCTGCTTTCAGCAAATATAAGGAAATGAGGATGGGGGAGTGCTCAAGCTAATTTAGAGGGGGGTTATGTGCCGTCATGGGACTGATAAGAAATCAGAGGGGCTAAGTTCAAAGCATAAATCTGTAATTCAGCTTTTTTTCTTTCCAGTTTAGAGATCTTAGTTTATTTATTTATCACAGAGACCGTTATGTAAAGACCCTGGAGAGAATAAGAATACACACTTTAATAGTAAAGGGAGAGATGATCAAAAGAAACCATGACATGAAGGCTCCAGGGTTGGGATGTGGAAGCAGCGTTCATTGCCTGTCAACAATGCCACAGTGTGTGCTGTTTGTATGAGGATGTCAGTCTCTGAGTGAGCTGGTAAAGGAAGAGAGGTCTTCCTGTCCTTGGAATCAGGATATCCGCAGCTTTTTCCTCACTTTATGTCCACTTTGTGATGTGGATGGGTCTACAGGTTTGGGAGACTCATGTCCTTTGACGTGGAATTGTGAGAAAGGAAGAAGTCAGGATGTCATTCCCAGTGGAGCTATCAAGTTTCAGCATTTTGAACTGGTATAGAAGCAGTTACATCTATTTTACCATCATAGGGTTTTGTGGAACACTGTGTCAGTGATTTGTATTTTTGAAGTTTTGATTTGAACTTAGATAATATTTCTTAACTGAATGGATATAGTTTAGCCGGAAGCTATCTTTGTAAAATATGTTGGAGGGCAAGATGAATGGAAAATCTCCAACTGTGTAAGTCTCTCCAGCAGAGCCATCTAGTGGCCTTCAGGTGTAGTTTGATACGAGTACAGCAGGCTAATGGAAATCATTTCTATGGGACAATTCATGTTATTAATATCCATCTAACAAACAGCACAGGGATACTGGCTTCTTAACATATTCCCAAGCTTCTAAACTCTTAAAAAGCTTGCAGACCAAGCCACTTTTGTTTTGGTCAAAAACTCCTGAGCAAAAATGAATAAATTATTAAAATAAAAGCATGATGCAAATAAAAAGCAAATAGTTTTCAAAATGATGACATTAGTAACAGATGTTCTGACATGTATCTATAGAGGGTAACATTTAATATATGAAGGCAAAGTTTATTGAATAACTTTAACGTATAGTGGAGAATTTTAGCATTCTTTTTTAAAAGACCCGCCCGCTCCACTTAAAAAAAAAAATGCACATGCACAACCTTGCACCCGCTCCACAGAGGGAATGTCTAATATATGCACACAAGATCATGCACGACCCCATTTCTCCTCATGCATGCTCAGTTTTGAAGTTGCTGTTTGTATCCCTCATACAAGCTTAGTTTCCAAAGGATTTTTTTCTATTATGTCAGACTCACCATTGGTAAGTGAAAATGGGGACGAGCACATCACCATAATGATAGACAATTAGGAGGACCACTTATCTAGATGATCCACCCGGAAAAAGAATATCCTCCACTCAGTGGCGGCCGGCCCATAGGGGGCGCTGGGGCACCGCCCTCCCTGATAAGAAGAGAGAAACGTAAAATATATTTTTAGAAATTAACTCATAAATGTCAGTTTTACTCTCTAGAGTGTGTACCTATAAGCAAAACAAATTATATAAACTACATTTCCCTATCTACTGTCATTAATTTGTGGATTTCCACAGACAGACTCCTACCGTCTCTGTTCTGGGGGCTGTGATCAGACAGACCCACATTTGCAGAGAATCTGTGAATCATGTACTATTGCTAGGTGAATTTAATGGCCAATCAGCGTCTCGGAACTTTATGGTCTTGGGGCTCTGAAAATACCGCACTTTAACAGGCTTCTGAACCCAAGCGCAGGTGCAGACAATAGGGGGTTTTCAGTGACGTCACTGGCCAGCTGCCGGTCCGCCATCTTGGGTGGCATATTATCGTATATCAAATATATCATGTCGCGAATGGATAAGTACGCCAGCACGCTAGAGCCACCAGATCATGAAACATATCTGAGGAAATGTTCCGTGATCGACCATATGGACCCCTATGCCTTCCACGGTGCCTTGTTTAGCACTAATCCAGATGATTGGCCAAATGTAGAGCACGGTGACATAGTTCATTACCCGGTGTTCAGTGAAAACCCTCTGCACACTCTTGAGGAAATGAGAGCGTACAAGGGTCTAGAGGCTCACAACCAGTTCACATCTGGTTGGGTACGAGATGTCGAAGTGATGTACATGAAGGAAATCGCCATCATACGTGGACGGGTGAGTTTTAATAAGATGGTAAAAATGTAAACAATCCGACGCAGGGCTCGCTATGCTAGGTGGCTAGCGGCCGGCGGTGCGCGAACAGTTCCAAAGCTACAAGTCCTTGGAGTCTCATGTGCAGTTTACGAATGGATGGGTTCAGGAGCTGCAGCTCATAAAGCCAGCAAACAGTGCTAACCGTTAGTGCTAACAACCACTCAGGCATGTAATGTACTTTTAACTAGCTGCTATTTGTTTCAAAGGTTTGGTTAGTAACGTTTACTGCCAAACCTCCCTAAACCCTCCGGGTTTCTCACATATTAGAGCCTTTTCCCGCTGGTTGAAATCAAGTTAAGGTGAAATTCATCAAATTAAAACACGGCTGAGAGAGGGAGTCCAGTACGCGGTAGTCATAGGCAGTAGTCTGAGTAGCGGCGGCGGAGACGGTCAACATTGCGGCCACGGAAAGTAATACGTCATGACGCCCAAGCCCTATTATTAATATATTCTTACATGTTTTAAATGCTTGACAGTTAATTACCTGTGACAAAGTGAGCACTGCAGACTCTGGCGTGTTCCAGCTTAACACCGTCCAAATCGGACCTGGATATCCGTGTCAGCCATAGGTGTCGGCGTTGTTCAGATAGCTGTTTTGTTTTTTCACATTGATTCACGATTACGGCTGGTATGCGATAGAAAGAGCGTTGATCTCCACCTCCACGGGCCGTGCAACCAACAATTACACACGATTTCACAATTTTTCTCTGTCAATACTGCCTAAGGCTGCCACCCAATATGGCGGACGCGCTGAGTAGTCACGTGAGCGTGACATCACCTGAAAACCCCCTATTAGAGGGAAGATGGCGAATGTAACGAACGAGATGCAGCTTCCACCAAATTCGGTGAGATCCTTATTTATCTACCCTGTTTGCCAGAAGAACATCCCTGTTGTAGGATATGAAAATTTCATGTCATGGTTATTGTGACTGTGATCCACCTCGTCGCTTAAAACAACCTCTCTAACTTTGCGCGCCACACACACATTCCTGTTATACTGTGTTTGTGAGGACCAATACACTCGCGCTGAGCCAAGTAGCTCCATGAACTTAAAACACACAAGCTGTTCCTGGTTACCTGCTGGCGTATTGAGGGTGCACACTTAATATTTCAGTGGGGTTAGCCATGTGTGTGTGTGTGTGTGTGTGTGTATGTGTGTGTGTGTGTGTGTGTGTGTGTGTGTGGGTATGTGGGGTGTGTGTGTGTGTGTGGGTATGTGGGGGGTGTGGGTGTGTGGGGTGTGTGTGTGTACGTGTTTATGCTACGGGGACTTGTCATCTTCAGTCTGGCTGCGTCTTTGCTGGGTTCAAACCCAGTTTGGTGTAATTGAATAAGTCAATGAATCTGTCTAAAAGAATTAAGTTGTAAAAATTATTTGTTTTTGTACATCAATTGTTTGTGGAGGTAATATATGGACAAAACTGATTAATGAGAAGAAATCAGAAATAAGAGAGCCTGAGGGGAGGGGCTTAAACTATTTAATGAGGGCTGTGGGAAGAAAAGCGGCAATTTTTGTTTTCTGTTTCTTTGTTACATTGCTGGTAACTGGAGGGAGGCTGAGGCCCAGAGTATCTTGTATATGTTTAGTTTCTTTTGCACCCTGTTTTGAGTTTTTGAGCTCAATAAATCACCAACACCGGTAACCCGACTGAGACTGGATTCTTGGAGGCCAAAGAACCCCGTCACAGTGACCCAAATCATCACTGTTACTGTTATTATATAGTAAATTAAATCATTACTGTTAAATTGTATGTATTGTCCAATTGTTTATTTGAATTCTTATTCCGGATTAGTTGGAGACATACACTAGGCTATATCAGCCCCACCAAAAATATTTTTCACCAGCCGCCACTGCCTCCACTATAACTTAAATGGCAGGAATCAGTTTCTTTCCTGCACCTTAAAGGAATTAACCTGTGTGTGAATGTGCTCTTTTGAAAATACACAACTCTTTAAGCAGACAACTAATCTAATGAATGATGCCATTAACCTTCAGAAGAATCTCTATTGAGGGTTTTAAAGGAAAATTCCGGTTTTTAACACTTTTAGCCCCTTTTCTGTAGTGTCCAGGATGAAATCGAATGATCAACACAAAAATTTTGACGATTGGTCCTGTCTCTGCTATTTGGCTCATGCAGAATCCCCCCCTGGCTGCTTTAGAATGGCTTCCATTGTGCATGTCCGATAATGTCCTTAAAACAACCTTAAACTTTCTTTTTTTAAAATATGCTACTCACCGAGTTGTCAACGCTGTTCAATGACGTTCAAAAACAAGTTTCGTAAAGAAAAAACGTTCCTGTAGTGTTTTATTTAGCATTTTGTAA